CTTTGTTGCTCCGAACTTTAACACTCGAACAACTTGACTACTGCAGTGACGTTTTATTGCCCCTATATAGACGTTACTTTAAGTCATTCACCATTTACATGTTTTAAGTAACCAATGCCATACACTCACATGAAAACTTTCTCTTATTATTCTAGTCATTAACCAAAAATGTCAAATTCGTTAATATCATAATTGATCAAGCAAGTAATTTGTCTGAATTTATATCTAGATATATTTAATCAATGCTTATATCATCCCAACCGCTTGCCAACTAAATTATTCTTCCAATGAAAGTTATTGATGGTTTCGGACAAACCTACAACATCACATCCTAGATGTCTTATCACATCTAAAGCTCTTGTCTTTCACGTTATAAATATTGAGTGATACTGGTAATTCAATTTTTTGGGAGCACGTATTTGGAGCTTTTCAGTTTGTGAAAAACAGGGGGTGGCAACATTTAGCTAATTGTAGGCCAAAAATAGAATCTACAACGCGGACAGAAATGATTTTCCTCAGAGAAACCCTTTCCATTTGGCATTGATAAAATGTTGCTACTCGACATATCGTCTCAATTATATTTTAACATACGAACCAACTAACTAGGGGTGTGTGGCTTATCTAGGGTGTGGCAAGCATGACTCGTGCCATAGTCACTGTTTGGGCAGGGGCGCAAAAGAGCGGGAAGTTTTAATCGTAAAAGGTTTTAATAGAATAATTTCGAATTGGAAATAACTGAAACTCGAATTTCTACACAAATAATAACGTACATGTATCTCTTTTAAATAACAGTTACTATAAATTGTCAACTAACTATCAAGAGAGGCGCATTTTATACTTTGCTATGGGCGCCATAGATTCGCCTTTGCTAGGGGTAGAAAAGTTGCACTTTTTTATCGAATATTTTCAACGAATACGGAATAGTTCTAATCTACAATCGACCAGGACGTGGCGGGTCGATGATAGATCTAGAAATTAAACTTAATTAAAAGTAACTCATAGCATATCGTGGGGTATATGTGGATGCTTGTATAGGGTCTTGTTAGAAGCGACAAGTATTGAATGAGCATCATATCGTCACGCTAATAACCGAATTGCGTAAGTCATTTTTGGCGATTTTGAGTTTTTTATAAAATAGGTATTCATGTAATGCTGCGCACCTGTCTGTTAACTCAGATTTTATTTTAGGAATTCCGAAACCCATAAAAATGGAGATTTAGTACGACGTGCACATTTGTGCAATTGTTTCGTCATAATGAATTATCCTTGTTACCGCAGTACTATTGTGACGTCACAAAGGCAAAATAACCTCGGCGAAGTATTTTCGAGTTTTTGCATCTCGGATTCTAGCTTAGCGCGTATTAATTTGAATTTTTACTACAGTATAAGAAGACGTACACTTGTGATATTCACTGTCCGAGTCAAATTTACCTTGGTTGGCTTTTATATTGGGTACATTGCTGATTTATTCTTTATATTTAATCTTAGTCCTATTTCGGTGGGTGTGCAGAACGTGTTATATTGATGAAATATATATTTTTAAACATAAAAAATGATTTAATTGAAACTGATTAGCTATTTTGGGGATTAGACATTGTAGATACTGAGAATTACATTCGTTTTTGGAATGTTTAGTTTTCAGGACTGGTGCATATAGTGAAGTTGCAAATTGCGTATGTCACCAAGTCATAGACACATTTCTGCCTAAGTCACAGTGCGCCATTATGACGTCACTTAACTGCGTCATACAAATTAACTTAAATCCGGCTACGAGCAAAAAATTGAACCATGGCAAATTATTGACTCTCAATTGCATAACAAAATCATTAGGAAGTTTTTTACGTTTTTCTCAAAACTGCTAAAAATGACTTACGCAATTCGGTTATTAGCGTGACGATATGAAAAAAAATCGTCTGATTTTGTTATAATCGCTGTATGTTTGGTCAGCGTGATTTTGCCTGCTGTCCACACCATAACGTCGGTAGAATATCTTTCTGCCAATTACTTTTTTTTCAATAATGTAGCATATTAAATATTGTCTAGAATAAAATTTATCTAGGTTATTATATGGCTGTAGTGGTGAAAGGTTAATGCGACAAACAGCATGTTCCATCATTTATTTGTCGTTTCGCTATTTTCTTACGTCGCCTAGACATGTGATTCCTAACAACGGATGAAAAAGCAACTTCACGTTGCGGTCTCCTCCACCCTCTTTGTTTCTTTATTATAATCACACTTTTTTCTTGCCACGTCAAAATTTGTCTGCGCTCAATCGGTCTTTTCAAAGTTGACGCCGTCAGGTGAGCACTGATTTCATGTTTGTGAATTTTTAGGTTTAATGGTTTATGTGCATACATGTGTCGCTAATTTTTTCATAATCCAACGCCATTTTTCATAGCTGCACTAATGCAGTTAAACTAAGCTTTGGCCTACAATTATTGATTCAAATGTCTACAAAGTGGAGTTGAGATTACAAGATCTGAAATTGGTGAGATAATCTAAATCGGCAATGATTATTAGAGATAATTTCATTCTTTCAGTTAGTTAGCCCATAGCGTAATACTAAAGGATTCCTAGTGTGTAATTATTGAATCAAAAACGACGGCGTAAACAAATGGAGGCGATCGAGAACAATGAAATGTTCAAGTTAGAACAAGTAAGAAACCTAAAACCGTATTCAAATTTACGTTCTGGATATATTCCATCTATACGAATTGCCCTATTCTTGCTTTTAGCTTGTGTTAGCTTTTATTCAACCTATATAGTGCATCTTAGCCATGTTACATATTTCAGATCGTGTTTATGCAAACTGACTGAACGTAAACAAGCTGTGAATGTTAACATCGGAAACTGCTTGAGCGGAACAAAAACTACGGTTAAACAAATATTTATTAAATTATGGATTACAGTTAGGCCATAATATAGCACTAGATTGAATTGAGAGTATAATTGTGTTGAATCAGAGATCCCTGGGAAGATATGCCTGCGCAATGATGTTTGTACCATTTCATAAATAAGATCTACATCATTGATGAATTAAAATCTCAACAGAGATGCAGTTGTGTTGGGATGTTCCGGATATAGTACAGGTGATATTATTTGCTTAATATTTTTTTAAATTGTTTCAATGGTCACTTCTTTTGTTGTTTATATCCAAACCTTTTTTTATCATGTCAGGAATTTACGTGGGCCCAAGTAGCGTTCTCGCAGTTATACTAATGCAGTTAAACCTAGGTTTAACCTACAATTGTTGATTCTGTAATGTAGAAAGTTGTGTTGCTGCTGGTCTTCTATCTGCGTACTTATCCGATAGTCCCGTCGACTACTTACGACTTTATATTAGACTTCTAGAATCTGGACTCCGATATAAAGCAATTATTAATCAGAAGGTATACGTGTTCTATTGGGAATCCTTGAATGGGACAGTTGCGGGTTTCCCCCCCCCTATATTGATATTGATGACAGCGCATCTGCATTCCGGGTTAAAGTCGTTTCATTCTTTGTAACTTTCGTATTTTGTAAAACCAATAACCTTGTAAGATTTCTGTCAACCATTGCGAGTGTTTTTGTTAATGAAGGCAATAAGTAAGATAAAATTCTGTCTTACGCAATAAGTAGTTCACCCTTTGTATGAAGTATGCCAGGTCCTATTTTTTTTTGTCTCGTATAGCAATTAAAATTGCGAAGTTTTCCACTACTGGGCTACCCTTCCAATTTTCTTTTGCACGTGCAGACAAAAGTGGATAGTAGACGGAATCTTCGGCATAGCTGGACATGGTAGCTACAAGTGAGTTTTTATCAACACAGTCATTAAATATAGCCCATGTGACGACTGATAGAGACGGGGTAATTACTTGTTATTGGTTTCAATAATATTGGAAATAAACTGTACATATTGTTATTCTAATATGTTGTTGTTTTTTTTTGTTCATGTTCATTTCCTTGTCACATCTTCTTTTTGTTTATATTTCAGAAATTTGAAATCGGTGATTGAATTTCTTCGAACGAAAAAGGAAACGTTTTCATTTGGGAAGCAAAAGGAGTGACTTTCCGATACGTCTCAAATGTAAGAAAGTATGCAAGTAATTATATTTTTTGCAGTTCGAATCATGATTTATTTTTGAAACAAACTTTAAAATTCATTTTTTTTTCAATAATACTTAACGGGCATAATCAGAATCCGGTGTTTGTGTTACCGAAATCGTAGTGTGCAATTAGTCCTGTATTTAGTGGAAGCTGAAAACTGTTTATGAAATTTATGTAGTATTTCCGCTGCGTCTCAGACAAAAACAAGTATGGATTCAACAATTTAATTAAAAAAAATTGAAAATACCTTCAAAGATTTTTAACGTACAGTGTTTTTTACGGTGGTTTTATTTTGGTTCAGAAATTGGCAATCAGTGCTTGAAAGTATTGAATGTAAGGGGAAAACATGTGGAGCAAGGTACGGCATTCCGGCGTGTCTCAAGCAAGGTAGGTTAACATTTTATCATACCCTCTTTTGAATTTATTTCCCTTAACGTTCCGAAACGAGGAGGATTTTGCTCAGTATTTGCTGGAATATAGCTACTAATATTCTGTATTTCTTTATTATTAATATTACTATAATGGATAATTATACCACACTTAAATTGTACAAAAGTGTGAGTGCGCATGATCCATTAAGTCAAAAAATAATAAAAAAGTTCCAAAATAGGCGAAGGGAGTTTTGACGATAAAGGTTGGAACACTGCTCTAAAATTACTCTTACTCTTTGCAAGTGACCGTGTTTCTAAAGTGAATTCAATTCACACTGAAATTAATTGCTATCATTTATTCCAAGCCGAAACATTCTATCTGTACCGGCATAGATACTCATGTGTTAAGTGAAATAAAAATGAATGCAAAATAATATTGGCGGAGGTCATTTCGCTTTAGCTGAAATCATAAAGGCGTTTTTAATCGGGCTGAATTATTCCGGATTCGATAGTTCCGTAACTTGTATTTTATCATGCAGGTTATGTCCCGATTACGAGGATAAGCGAATAAAGTGAAAGCGAATCTCACGAATCGAGAGTTTGTTGAAGTAAGTATAGATATATTTGTCTTTACATATTTATCACAGTGGAGAGGAAATTCGTAAGACGGCTTGATTACGTGGACATCACGGCTTCTCGTCCGGTGATCGTCCATATCGTGTCAAAATAAGTTCTTTGCCAGCGCTGCTTCCTCTCGCTACTCGTTTTGTTTTTCTTGGTGGATTGAATCAAATTTTCGACGTTAAAATTTCTTGATTGCTGCTAATTTACCCTGTTCACCCCCAGGGGCTAATTTTATCCTATAGACTGAGAACCCCAGTTTTTACCCACAAGATGGATTAGAGAAATTGAATTGCAAATCAGTAGTTACTCATTACCCAAGCATATAATATTCTTCAAACGAAACTCTATAGCAGTGGTTCTCAAACATTTTAAGCCGCGCCCCTTTTTAGAATTTGTGAAGCCGCCCCACCTCAAAAATAACTTGCTAACAAGCTACAAATAACGGATAGTTAAACGAAAGTATGCTTTATTCAAGAATACATGTTAAAATACGCAAAGGAAAGTGAATATCCAAAATAAAGAAATATATCCAAAATAAGGCGGGCAAGATCAATCTAACAAATATTTATATTTCTAATTAGCTAAACGCAATCTAAAAAATTGTCTACGCCCCCCTTGTGCGCGATCGCCACTTCTGTTTACGATCAGCAACTATTCCTATTGAAGACCGATATCTAACGTTATTTTATCATGCAGATTCTGTCCGGATTGCGGAACAAGTGGATCGAGGCGACAACGGATCTCACAAATCATCTGTCTGTTCAAATCAGGTATTTTTATAATTGCGCATTGTTTCAGCTAGAATATTTGATAATATTGTTTCATAGTCTTTTATAGCTGTGATGTCGTTTCATTTAATTAGCATAATTTCATTTAATTGAAAGTGTTAATTAAGGCGCATTTGTCATTGTTGGGCGAAGTCTTAAAACCCAATAGTTCATTACCACTTCACAAGTTATTCCGTTTAGAGAGTTCTGGTAATATTGGTGAGCTAATTTTCCAGTTGCAAAAACGCACTTCTTTGCCTCTCATTGCTGCTTTTTCCTCAATACACCACGGAAATAACTATAGTTACTGTTGCTATTTGTGGCATTAGGTACACAAACTTGCAAGAATTTACTAAGTTGCCGGCCTGGAGTCTGAAACTGTTAAACATGAAATGGACATCAGATCGTTTTGTCATTATGTTATTGTTATTACTGGGAATCTTCTTGTTTCTGTGATGAAAAAATCACCTTTCTCTATCAACTAAAACATTCAAAATTAAATATTGCGCACCCTGTCTACTGTGACAGATTGCATACTCTTACTACTTCGTTTTGGTTTTCGTGTCCATATATTTGAGCATCGCTATCGTGATGTATCAAGTTGAAAGCTTAGTTTCGAATCTTATGAATTTTTGCATGTCGATGTTTAAATTTTTAGGATCTGTTTTCCATCGGTGGTGTGAAATGTAATTCATAATCGCCCCGTGCTATGTTGAATCTGTATTAATATTTCAGCTGCGTTCTGGTTGGAAAGATCAAAGGACAGTCGACAACCGATCACGTACGTTGAAGACCATTGAAATAATTGTCGTACCATCTTGTTTATATAAACAGTGTATTTTAATTTTTTATATACCCATCTTTCTACCCGAGTTTGCCGGATATCAAAGCTTGCCCCAGTAGTGGCGTATCCGCGTGAAATGGCGCCTATGGAAATGTTTAAAATGCGCCCTCTTGATCGATCGTTTACTGAAATTTTTAACTACGGTTTGTTGCTTTGGGATACTTTTACGTTATTTAAGTAGTTTTTATCAAAATGATGTTTCGCCCATTGTGCGCCCTCGTCCAAATGGCGCCCGTGGCAGGGGCAGTGGCCCTCTTGCTATACATGTATGCCACTGAGCCCAGGTATCACCAAGAAATTCACGATTCTTCATTTCGTGTCTGATCATAGCAGAAAAGCTTGATATCTCAATGTTGCTCGCTTATAAGCAATCCGTCCCTGCATTCCCATACCCTCTTCCAGCTGTTGACCCATGCCTATTTTACATGTCCCAATTCAACCCCCCGTCAATCACCAACCATAACCCCCAAAGGCGTCACTCAAAGTTTGCGTAAAACGTTTACTATAAATCTATTCGCTAGAGGTCGCTGCTGGGTAAGGAATTGAATGGTATTTCGCTTGTTCGAAAATTAGCGATATTTTTATACGTTTTGTTTTCATTTTATTTTATTCCATGGCCCGTATAGGGTAAATTTTTCCAATTAGGCTTTCAATACTTTTATTATCGCTTTGGAATCATAGTTTGTCACGAAATAAATGTAGAACCAGTCGCGTAAGTCAAATCAGAAAACAGAAAAGAGTCTCATGTCAGGATTCCGTTGAAAAAATATGGCTCCAATAAAAAAAAAATTGAGAAATTTATCTAGACCAATGGCGGCAAGGTAAAAAACAAGATGTCGGCGATTCGAATTTTCGCTATGAACCGATTCGAATAATTCACTATTCGATTCGAATATTCGATTCGAAATGCCCAGCCCTACTCCCGCGGCGCACGGCTGCATTAGCAGCTGCAGTGATTGATTCGCAACACAACAAAAAAATCTAATTGACTCGTGATAGGTATGATCTGGTACTGAATAACAGCGCAACACAGATGTTGTATTTGATTTGGGACAAGTATGATACTGTAGAGATTTGATAAACAATAACAAAGTTTTATTCGGCTGGTGTCAAGTAAAATATATTTCAATGTACAGTAAAACGAAACAATAACAATATAAAAAAACACCGATAACAACAAACCAAAATACATACACTGAGCAGAAAACTTCAAAAAAAAAAAATAATGAAAAAAACAATATTTACAGAATATAACACTCGCTCTCTAACGCCAATATTCTAGTTTGGTATGCCAATCAGCAAAACAAGTTTTGTTTGCAAGTACACAAAGGTGTACATCACACTCGGCGCATTTCACTCCGCTTCGTGAAACATATGGTTTTTCTTCAGAATGTCTTGATGCCAAATTACTTTTTTTCGAACACACTGGGCAAACACCCTGTCTTCCATCAAACGATGGAAGGTGGCGCCCAACGTTTTGCAGTCTCAGAACGGTGCCCGACCCCGACGAGGAGACCTGTGATCCCCAATCAGGCCAGTTACAATTGCCATCCGGAACGTAAATCCGTCCAAGTGCTTGCCTTCGATGTTGTCGGCCAGCACTCTTGCATTGTGGAGTGCCACTTCAATAATGTAAGAAAATACGCGCCGATACAATACTTTAGAACGTCTCGTCAAATTATAATATTTTCTCATTTGGTCGGAAAGATCCACACCCCCTATGTGAGAGTTGTAATCTTTGAGTACTTGGGGGCATGAAATTTCCGAAGTCTGTGATGTAGAACGGCCTCGTTTTCGCTTGACGGTTTTTGAGCCAGAATAGTCGCTGGTATATTCAGGGTTATGGATGGTTGTTAGAAAACAAACGGCCCTGTTATCGACCCATGACTGGGCTAGCAAGTCCCCAGCCATTCGCCAATCGGTCGCACCCCTCTGCAAACTTCGAATTGATTTTATTATAAGTTCCTTCGGAAATCCAATGCGATTAGCGCGGAATGTTCCGCATGCATATATCCCCTTAGATAATAGGTATGAAAAAAGTTCAGGGCTGGTGTAAAAATTGTCGACATAAAGGTGGTGATTCATGTCGACAAATGGTTCCATCAGATATTTCACCACTCTTGAGGATAATCCCTCCTCTGGATTTGAGGTAGGGTCTTTTCCCGTATAAAACTGGAGCCGGGAAACATATCCAGTCGACGATTCCGCAAGTACCCATACCTTGATCCCAAATCGTGCCCGCTTTGTCTTGATAAATTGACGGAAACTTATTCTTCCTTTGAATGGGATCAAGGTTTCGTCGATGGATATTTCCCGGCCCATACTATAAGCATTTTCAAATAGAGGTAAAATTATCGATAAAAACTTGCGAACTTGGAACATTTTGTCCTTATTTGGATTGTCAGCAGCGGGTGCTTCACTTTCATCGCCTGTAAGTATCTCATAATATCTCTGAAGCGCTGCCTTGGCAATATTTCGTTGAAGCATGGAATGTCAAGGAGCCAGTTCTTCTTCTGCCAATAAAAATCCACAACGGGAAGACGAATTATTCCCATCAGTATGATTAGACCGAGGAAACAATGGAATTCCGGCGTAGTAACGGAGTCCCATTGCTTGCACTCGGTGCCGGTCGTAGCAGCCGCCGCTGTAAAAAAAAGTCATAAAATTACTAAATAGCTTTAGTAACTTCTTATAATGATTTGATAAAAAATAAACAAATCTTAATCTTATTCTAAATCAAATAATAAAACGAAGATTACGGAAACTAACCTTGGAGTTTTCTGATGGCGTTGAGGTTTGTCATTTCCACTATAAATCCAATTACAGTGGAATTGAAAAATTGATGAAAGAACGTTACGGGACTCGACGATTGGTTCAAGTGGCGATTGCGCACCTGTCGTTGACCCCCGAAAGGTCGAATTGTCCTCGCTGTGAAGGACTTTGTCCAGTTGTATCTTGGGCGAACATCACGCTCTCTGGGTGTCGAGCGACGTGCCCTTTTTCTCGCCCCAGCCCTAGTAGCACGCCCGCCTCGTCTCCGAGGCGGAGCAGTAGACGTTAAAGGTTCATCATCTGTAGAAATAAAATATCATACAATATTACCGATACGTTATCAATCCATCTTATCTTATTGGAAAATACATTAAATAAATTAGTACCAACCTTCCGAAACTTCGTCAGCTTGAGTATCTAAAATATCCTCTTCCTCGGAAAAATCAGACACTCCCATACTGTCGTTATCATCCGATGCATCTTCGGGAACAAATGCGTCGTTCTCTAGATGCCACAAAACATCATCCACATCCAAAACTCGCGATTGACGTCCAGCCATAATAACAATATAGTAATATATATTTCGCATATGTCGATCGTCAAAAATGACATGAATCGAGTCCTTCGAAGCGGCTCTATTTATAGAACGGGGAATTCCAAAACGCTAACGCTTTTCTCTTGAAGCCCAACCTAGTCTGCCGTCTCTCTCATATTAACGGCCTCATATTAACAGTTCTTCCATGCGTGTCAGAGTTCTTCAATTTCTCATTGTCACTCGGCATATTCCCCTCATCTCTGAAAATTGCTCGTGTAATTCCTCTCTTTAAATCTGGAAACAAAAATAAAAACTCGTTTCAAATTATAGACCGATATCAATCCTTTCATCGATAAATAAAATTTTTGAACGCTTGATTTATAAAAGGCTTAGTAGTTTTTTTTACAAAATACGATGTCATAAATAAATCTCAATTCGGCTTCCAAAACAGTCAGTATCTAAAATGGCATGAATATCATTTATCTATGATAAACTAGAAAAAAAAGAGTTTGTTAGTGCCACTTTTTTAGATTTAAAGAAAGCTTTTGACACAGTTAACCATGATATCCTGATCTACAAGTTGAGTCATTATGGTGTTAGAGGGCTTGCAAATAAACTCATTTCTAGTTACTATTTCTAGTTACTTAAGAGGAAGGTTACAGTATGTTCAAGTGGGAACAAATCGTTCTCCAGTCTTACCAGTGACCCACGGGGTCCCACAAGGTAGCTGTTTGGGTCCATTTCTATTTTTAGTATACATCAATGACATATCACATTCCTCTTCATTATTTTCCAAATTGTTTGCCGACGATACCACTCTCCTCGACAGCAACAAATCTCCAGCAGCCCTTCAAGTTGAAGTGAACACTGAAATTGCAAAAGTAGCTAATTGGATGAAGGCCAATAAACTTACAATAAACATTGATAAATCAAAGACTATGTTAATATCACCACACAAAAATAAAGCTCAACATGGTTTAGTAGTCCAAATTGATGATGTAGAACTTGAAAATGCAATGCACAAATAGTAGGGAGTAGGGACAATGGTTTTTGTTTGAGTAGCATGCTGTTCAATTTATTTCCATTGTTGCTACCTATCACCAAATCACACTTTTTCTTCCGCTCATTCCAGGATACCATATAATTTTATTATTTTAATTTACATTGGAAAATCCATGACCTGGTAAAATGGCTTCTCTTATCATTCCCTATTTCACTGCACCTTTATACCTTTCTAATCTTCTGGCTGAAATGCAACCATAATAGGTTTTGTGGAAATGCTTTTCATTAAAAAAATTTTAAAACTTCATCGTTTTTGGCTGGATCCAGAGTTTCAAAAAAAACCTTACAATAGTGAGTAATTTGATACATAACTTTATCATATTTCACCAAAACCTGTAGGGTCACATTTTGGCCAGAACAGCCATAGACCACTTATAACACTATCGCCCTTGAGTGGTGCATACCATATATGTACACACCCTTTAAACTTGACCGTTCCCGCGTTTTATAGTATGTGGTATCATCACTCAATGGTGTTGTACATTCATCCAAATTCTTAATTTTTTTTTATTACTATATTCATATGCAGTGTGTTTCATGTTGTGCTGTGTCTCTATTTATAGATGTTGTTTTGTCTAACAAACTCCTTTGTACAAACAGTTTTGTACACTCCACCCTTATCCCTGTTACCACACCCACCCACCCTCCTTGCACAACTGCCTGTACAAAGGACCATATTGTACATATTTGATTTACCCTATTATAATTTATATATATCAAAAGGGGTGTATGCCGCACATTTGTGTTTTAGGCCAATATGGTCTTGTGCATACATCCCGTCTTCAGTATTTATAATTACTTACTTTTTTATATTGCTTTTACAGGCGAATAAACATACATACATATCTTGGTATATATCTAGACAACAAAATGAGGTGGGATGTTCAAATTTCTAACCTGGCTGTTAAACTATCTAAATCAGTTGGGATATTATATAAACTTCGGCATTTTGTATCATTAACAACATTACGCATGATTTACTTCTCTTTAGTTCAGTCCCATATTCAGTATGGTATTGCTGCGTGGGGGTCGGCCGATAAAAATTTATTGCATCATATTGAAATTATGCAGAATCGAGCAATTCGCGCTATTTCCAACGTCGGTTTTCGCACCCATTTAACTCCTTTTTACTACAGTCTTCGTATAATTAAAATGGTCGATTTGCACAAAATAGAAATCTTAAAAATAATGCACCAACATCATAACAAAAAACTAACCCCTGTATTAACTAACTCTTTTTTAAAACAGAGTGATGTTCACTCATATGGAACTCGTTCCTCTAGCAAGTGCTCGTATTTTGTGAACCGTTTTTCTACCAAACTAACTCAACACTCAATCAAGTTTATTGGGGTAAAGTTATGGAACTCACTCCCTGGCAGTATTCGGCCCAGAAATTATAATTATTTTAAATATTCATTGAAAAACCAATACCTGCAGGCTTATAGTTTCCAGTAGCTTGACTCTTATCTGTGAAGTGTCTAGCATAGCTTCCAATATAAATTGCCTCCTGCATCGACCCATGTTATTCTACAGCCCAGCTGTATCCATTCTAATTCCCATACGCATATCTCTCTCGTGAATATTTCATTGTCTATTTTTGGGTCTGGTGAAGTACACGCCGTCAAGTACTTCTACCGGGCGTAGCATAACGATACAATATTCCTAACCCTCACCTGAGTACGTCACCCAAAAATTACATCACTGCGACGTCACAATCGCGACATAGAGCTTGCTAAATTATAACTACAATCGTCCTAAATGGCATCTGTGCCGACTATAATAAACTCACTAACCCCAGCGATCTCTCTCTTATCGTTACGGCGAGAAAACGAGAGAAGTAGCTTGCGCAATTTCGGATGATTGTCTGCGCGACCACACGTTTACTTTGGAGGGCCTTATTACGTCACTGCGACTACGCAGTGATGTAATTTTTGGATGGCGTAGTCAGGTGAGGGTTAGGAATGACATATGCAAAAATTGTTGAGCCAGGCCAATTAGAAGTGCTTGCGGCGTGTACTTCACGAGACCCCTATTTTTTTCTTCACTTGTCATGTCCCACTTTTCACTTGTAATTTGCATACTGCATAACGGTACTCCATTTTTGTGCCGGTGAAGTCGTCTACTTTAGTGAAAACTTATTTCTAGGTACGGCAACTACTCCGTTGCTTGCCACCCCGCGTACTTGTTTTTTATTGTTTTGTATTCAGTGATGCGTATATAAACCACCAGATGTCGCTAATAAGCTATATATTCTGGATGAATCATAATGGTTGTTCCTGTTGTCTAATTTATTTCAAATTTATTGTTGTGTTGTTTTCCCATGATTGTGTAATTTATAGTTATTTTTATCAGATTGCTTCATTGCTATATTTGCTGCTATATCTTACAGCATTTGGTATCGCTGACTGGATGACTCACTGAGTCTTTCGCGATCCCGCGTTAATTTGTATGAATCGTTTTACCCCGTTTTTAGTTTGCTATGTTTTTCTTTTGATTTATTGATTCTTGCATGACGAAAATAAATATCTGAATCTGTTACCAGTAAGCTAGCGTAAACATAAAATTATCTCATATGAGCTTACCCGCTGTAAGAGGGTTTTAATATCTCAACTTTCTCCACCTCTTCTCATACTTTTTTTTTTCCGAAGAATAGATGTAGATTTGTGTTTATTTTTTTGCTTGAAGAATAATAAAATGATTGAAGCAATATCCGTTCTCCACACTGGGTTTTGTTTAAGGCTATTAAAAAATGGGAGTTGGAGCATAGGTGTAAGAAGCGTCTCAAAACGTCATTTTGACTGGTTTCTGCGGATTTTATGTCAGACGTCACAAGGTTATGACGTCACACTGGCTAGCCGCGATTTTATGGGGCGCCCTGACGCCGGATACTGGCCGAAACGACGTGATTTTTTTATCTCTGGCCGATCGTAGGCCATAGATAAATTGAGTATAATTGCTGGAATTTATACATGACCATGCTTGATCATACATGATCCGAATGAAAATTTCAATTTTTTTTATTTTTCAAGGTCGTCCTCGACCCTTCGATTTCCTCTTATTATGGGGTTTCTGTAGTCCACAGCTCGAGTTTCTCCTTCGTTATATAGATCTTTCGCCGCCCTTTCAGTGACGACACACATTTGACAAGCGGATATTAAATTTCGCGGGATTCAAACTTTAGTCACCGTGAACAAATTTATGGTCTACCCAGCGCCTTTACCAACTAGGCCAATTAAGAACTTAGAAACAAAGGTCTAAGGTCTAATATTTATCTATCATCTCAAAGGACTTGTAAAAAAAAATTATAAAGTCATTCATGGTGAATGATAGATATTAGAACTTAGATCTTGCTCTCACGTTCCTCCTTGGCCTAGTTGATAAAGGCGGCTGCTAAACTTTTAGTTTGTTCATGGTGACCAAAGTTTGAATCCCGCGAACTTACTGTACCGTATCAATTCCATTACGCAGATATATAAAGTATGAAGGAAGCTCCGACTTATAAGAAAATATAAATCCCAGAATAAACGAAAATGAAGAAAATCGAAGGGATCACCTTGGAAAATGGAGATTTTTTGAAATTTATATCGGATCATGCATGATCAGACATTATTGTGGATAAATTTCGTAAATTACACTCGACTTATCTACGGCCAATGGTCGGCCACACATAAAAATAAATCGCGTCGTTTCTGCCCGGATCCAGCGCCGGCCTGCCCCAAAATATGGCTGTCCGCTAGGGTGACGCCATAAACTAGTGACGTCATACGCATGTTGCACACGGCTTTTCTACATTCCGATGATTGCTAGTTTATCCCGAACAACTATTCGAAACCTGACAAACCAATCCCAGACTCCGAGCAAGCAATTTTTTCTCATCGGTTATATTTATTTATTAATATCCATTGATTGGCAAAATGTTAAAATAACAAAAACTGCAAAGATTCTAGGCACAGAATGACGAAATTTGTGACAAAGTACAGAAACCTTGCCAACTCACAAGATACCGTATTCGAATAAATCTTGCGTTTATATCTATGATAGCAGTCTACGAGCTGATAGTTATTTGATGGCAGCCCTCACATGTACACATCACCAAAAAAATCTCGGTGTCCCTAACCAATCAATACCTATCATGACACACGATCTGGGGTGGCTAAGCAAGCGCTGACCTCCTCTAAAACCCGGATACAAAACTGATTAAAATATAATGGAAAATACGATTGGTACAATTCTAAAACACTCTATAAAGATAAAACTACCATTCTTCGTCTACTTCATGTGAGATTAATCATCTTTTACTTCCGTCCAGTACGCACCTGAAATATATAAAACGAGTTTACCACGGTGTTGGAAGAAATATTTCACAAACCGCCATGATTTTAATTAAAATATAACTTCTGGACTAAAATTGCTACCCCCAATTCCATAATCTGCAATTTAAATTACGAGTAAAACACCTATATGCTTGGAATTGAATTTAAAAGGCATCACTTGGGATTCGATAACAGCGAAAATTTATAGCATTCGAAATATCTCCGCAAATTGATTCTATAACCTTAAAGCAGTGTTCGGCAACCTTTTGTCGCTCGTGGGCCAAAACTAAGGGCTGCAAATCATTGACGGGCCGCACATCTTTTTAGAAAGTTGAAAACCCAACGGATGATACTTTTTATAATAAAAATCAAGCCGTGATACATCTATCGAATGGAATATAGATTTATTTCCTCATTGCATTGACCCTCAAAAAATCCCATTTGAATACATTTACGTGCCGGATTATATTACTCCGCGGGCGTTGCCGACCCTGCCTTAAAGGGATGTAATGGAGATAGCCATAGACAGGGAGGTGCCAAACTTTTCCGCTGCCCAGGCGAGTTTCCGATAATGATGCCCCTTATACCAAATTTGAAAAAGGATTTGGGGATAAGTTAGGCGAATATACTAAAATTGGATATTAAAGATATCGATAAATGAATTGGTTGAATAATTTTTTTTACTATATTACACGCCTTTATAAGAAGAAATGGAATAATTACTCACTTTATCCAGATTTGTAATACTGAGATCGCCTTGATTCGCTGTTTCCGGCAGAATCTGAATGATAAGTTAAAGTTAAAAATGCAGATTTTTTCACGAGAATAACAGCTATTTACATATCTGTGGCTATTCTACGCTGTTATGAGGGACGGCAGACGGCTGTTTTCTTCCCATTGAGTTATTGATGAAACATGATTCTTATTGTGAGTGACAACTTAGCGAACTGACTGAGTGATGGATTCTATGTTTTCAGTAATTTGAGGACTTATTAAAATAAAAGTTTTCATACAATCATGTTTAAATATGAAGTTTAAGTATCTTCTTAGTAACCAAGATTCGATTATTAAGTTATCGGGTATTCCCGGCTTTGGTATTTAATGCCAGTTTAGCAGGTCTTGGTGCACAACCTGAACATAGTATGTGTACCAGATTAAGGTTATCAGTTGTGCGCCATCTTGGTGCACCTACTTCTGGAGCGCCGTTTAGAACGACCCAACACGCAGTGGAATGGATCTGTGGCCGTTTGACATAGTGTGCTGTTATTAGTGATGGACAGACGACTATTTTCTTCCCAGTGACTAGTTGAGTATTGACAATACATAATTCTTATTGCGACAAAACGGCGCGAGCTGACAGAGTGATGAAATTAGGAAGTATTCAAAAATGCCCAGCTTTAGTAGTTAATGTCAGTTCGGCACGACCCAACACGCAGTGGAATAGATACATTACCAACTACAGCTATTCCGTGACCAGGATATGTTTTTTATGGGAGTGAAATATTTCGTTCCGGCTTCGTCTCCATATTGAGCATTGCCATCTTGTTTCTTCAAAACCTCATTTCGCATCCGTATGCCTGCTATATAAAAGCATTTGATATAAGAATATTGTGGTTTACGACGGAAGGCAAGTTTTAGGTCAGTAGCATACAGATTATAGGCAGTATAGCATTATTCTCCAACCTTTACAATTGTAATACGCAACAATATTGTAATGTAAAAAGTTAAGAGATGTACACAACTACATTAGCATAACCACAACGTGTGTTTATGTAGAACAGGGGGCTCAAACTCGTGGCTCGCGGGCCAATTGCGGCCCGCAGGACGAGAGTTTGCGGCTCCCGCCTTGGTATGAAAGTTTCATGGTATTGCGGCCTGCGAGTCACTCAGCTCAGTTAGAATGATTGATGCATTTAATATATGATCAGGACAAGTGGAGCAAAACAAAATATTTATAATTCATCCCCCGAAAGGCATATGCGGTACGGTAACCTACTATTACCGTACCTGTAGGCATGATATTCGATGGACCTTTGACCCCGAAAAAATTTTCTTATACTTTACCATTGTAAATTTTTGGTGCTTATTTTAGAGGTGGCTTCGCGAGTTGAAGCCTATAAACTGGGGTACATGTTTCACGTCATCATTTTGATTCAAAACATTCAATAACCTGTTTTTCTACAGTACCGGTAGAGAAGTTTAGCCTAGTTTATCACAGCTATTTCTAGAGTAATTTTCGATTACTGCAATTAGGCTACGACGCCCAATAAATCAGAATGATCATTGAGTTCTTGAATTTCTGAAACACAACCCAAAACTAACGAATAGCATGCAAAAACGAAGTAATGTTTATGAACATGCCTGAAAATCTTACTGAATGACAAGTGCCTGAGCGTTTGCGAAAAAGTCTATTGTTACGTCACTTTTTGCGTCTTGCTGAGTAGCCAATGTTACGGAAAAACAAGGAAGTAGATGCTCAGGGAAAGGTCCATCGCGGAATTACTTACATTTACGTTTCTGACATGTTTTGCGAATAGAAAAAAAAGATTTGGACTTACTGAGCCTCTGTCTCGGCGGCCCCCAGGTAAATTGAGTTTTTGAGACCCCTGATGTAAAACAAATTATGATCACAATCGTTCATACAAAAAGAGGAAAACTCGTGGAAATACGCAAGTTTTATTGTAAAATTTTGTTGTTAGTGAAGCGCTTTCAATATTTGAATGTTCACACTGTACAAACAACACGAACCAACAATTTGGGAAATATGTTTTACGTATACGCCTGAGTAAAATATTGTTCATAAAGAATGAAGCGGACCCACCTGTCCATTTACATCGATCAATTGCCACTCGGTCACCAGCAGTAACAATATCTTCTACCGTCACAAAGATCTGTAATTAAATTGGAAATTATAAAACCTTCGCTCCATAATCAAGTTGTGATAAAAAACCCAGATTTTGTAACATACCTACCTTTCCATTTACATCGACCGATCGTCACTCGTCCTCTAGCACAGGGGTGTCAAACTCGTGGGTTTTCAAGGGCCGCATTGCATTTTGGGAATTGTGCAAAGGGGCGCAAACAGCTTTTGATATATTTTGATGTATAATTAATAGTATATTTTTAGATATATGTAGTTCGTGACATATATTGTGATGCAATTAAACAGCCGAATAAGTTTTATTTTCTGAAATTTTAGATGGCATTTACATATTAATTTCTTGGTATTTCAACATTATTGCAAATTTATTTATTACAAAAATCAAAGTTTTTTTTACAACTATCCAAAACATTTTCGAACAAAGATTTGATAAAAGAATGATACATAATAAAAATGACTTTATCTAAATATACACCCCTAAAATTAATTATAATAATATATAATATAATAATATACATATTATAATAATATATAATTATAATAATATACAAACACATAAAAATATTCATTTGAAGTTGGTCTTCAAATTTGTCATATTGATTGCCGAGCTTATTCTGATATTGTCTACTTATATTGTATTCTTACATTGTGCTGATAGAAATGTGCCAAATTAAACAATGTGCTTTAAAATTTTTCAAGAAATACAGAAATATCGCAACCCGCTTTTTTTTGAAAATGCCACTCTCTTCGTGTACTTTGCGTTTCATTTAGTTCCTGAAGTGTTTTTTTTTTTTCAATTTTTCAATACTACTTTCTGTAAATTGTCCTTTTTTTGTGTCAATTAGATGAAAAAAAACTTACAAAATATTACAATTATTGTTTAAGCGTTCGAGGGCCGCATAGGAAGTTTTCTGGGGGCGCATGTTGACACCCCTGCTCTAGCAGTAACAACATCTTCCTTCTTCGCAAAGCTCTGTAATTAAGTTAAAAATTATAAAACCTTTGCTCTATAATCAAGTTGTGATAAAAACTTGATTTTGTAACATTTTTAGACCAACTACCTACCTTCCCATTTACATCGACCAATCGTCACTCGACCACCAGCAGTAACAATATCTTCCTTCTTCGCAAAGCCCTGTTTTTAGAAAATTCTAAGGCCTTTACTTCATAAGTTATGATAAACTACTTTAGATCAGTTACCTACATCAGTCGTCACTCCACCATCAATCATGCCAACATCATATATCGGTAGATTTTTTTTCACTTCAGGACTGTAATTTAAAAATAATAGTTATGGCTTACTTTTTAGCGATGACACAAAGTTCTTGTGCAAAGTAGAAAAATTATAAACAGCACGTTGAAGCTGATTACAACTCACAAAAAATATGATAAGAAACAAGACTTGATCCATAAAGAAAAACGTTGCATAACACGTAAATAAATACACTCGAAAGGTATATAAGAAAAGAAACAAGAACTCGCTGAAATCTATATTCATCATATAACACTCAAAATTCTGAATATGACTGAAAAAATGCGCTACCCAATTGTATCGAAATAGATTATTATTTATACAATTCAAGTTCAAGCTTATATATGCACGAAGAATGAGAATAATCAGTTAACCTGATTATATCTAGACCTTCCTTGCCTTTAAACTGTGAATATACCTGGCTCAGACCAGCACAGTAACGACCTCACACTACCACGCCCTGAACCGAAATGTAGTACGCGCGCCAAATATTATTTTAAGGTCGAAAGAGAAAAAGGGGCAGTATCAAAGAGAAACATAAGGAGAGGGAGTTGTCATTTTTAATAAAGAAACAAAGATACCGTAATCTCTATCTCACTCTAATCAGTGACCAATGATTGCTGTTTACTAGTGAAAATAAAGAACGTAGATTTATTTGGGATGTGACTGAGAAGATTGCCTGATTAAACCACATTCCATGGAAACTTTATCAAGACAACTATTTATTTGTTGTTAGTCTATTTGTGTTTCGTTATAAGCCCAGTCTCGGCTAAACATGTTCTAGGAGTCATAATAGGACATTAGTGACGTTTACGGGGCTCCATTCCTTTGGGTAATTATAATCGGAATTGATCTTATGCGACGTCTGTTGACATGGTCTACACTCTACAGAACTTCACTTCATGTTTGTAAGTGAGTAGGTAAACATAATACAAACCTGACACTTTAACCGTTTAACGCAACAATATTTTTTGCTTTTCTCATAACTATTGAAACAATACAGGATGTCCATTACAATTTCAATTTTGTTATAAAGTCAGATAAAGTCAGACAATTTTAAAAAAGTACAAGACTTTATGGACACCCTATGTGTCCTTTAACCCAACATCATTTAATATCTTGTTGATTCTTAGTCACATTTATGCACATACGTCACAGACATGCGTTTCACCAAGTATCTCAGTGGTAAAATCAGTACGATATCTCACCCATACCGCGCTGTACACTGTTTGGTAATTATCAAACCACGAATCAAGTCGAGATCATCCGAGCTTCGAGTCTGAGTCCGACATCAAGTTATCACGTAGTTGAAGACATTCTCATAGAATTCGGTTCCTAACTAAAAGAATGAAAAACCAGTGTAAATTACATTCTAACATGGGTATTCTTCCTGATATTTTACATGATGCTTGTAGACCTTATTCATACGAAAACATTTAAGCTCAATTTTGATATGATTGCTTTTTTTTATACCTACTTTGTTGCTTCGAACTTTAACACTCGAACAACTTGACTATTGCAGTGACGTTTTGATGCCCCTATATAGACGTTACTTTGAGTCATTCACCATTTACTTATTTTAAGTAACCAATGCCATACACTCACATAAACGCCTTCTCTTATTATTTTAGTCATCAATCAAAAATGTCAAATTCGGTAATATCATAACTGAACAAGCAAGTAATTTGTCTGAATTTATATTTAGGTATATTTAATCAATGCTTATAGCATCCCAAAACGCTTGCCAACTAAATTATTATTCCATTAAAAGTTATTGATGGTCTCGGACAAACCTACAATATCACATCCTAGATGTCTTATCACATCTAAAGCTCTTGTTATTCACGTTATAAATATTGAGTGGTACTGGTAACTGATCTTGATGTCCACATGATCGTATTGATACCAGTTGCTATACAGTCTATACCGAGAATTTGTTGCTTGCAATTATATTTTGTCGTGTTATTGTTTTCTGTTTGACAAAACAAATGAACTCTCTACTTAAAATATGAGAAATCTGTTACTATTTCGAGATGTTCAAGACTTGAAGAGCAAATCGTAATAATATATCAAACATACCTTCACATTGAAAATTTTATTCAAATTTACAATCGAAAAAATTTGAAAGAAACTTTAAGAATTATTTACAATGTTTAGTTAAATTTAATTAGCTGATTTTGATTTAATTCAAATTTGGCATACGACTCGATCCCTTTGCATAGAGAGATTTTGTTCATTTTAGTCTCACTTTACACGATGACATACAACATGTTTTTTCATGTCATTTTTATGCATAATTAAAATATTAGAAATAGGAAAAAAATTGTTTGACACTATTTTCTTAAAACAAATTCAACTAACTGTAAGATATTAATTATGCATAAAATATTAGAAATAGGAAAAAAATTGTTTGACACTATTTTCTTAAAACAAATTCAACTAACTGTAAGATATTCTGTTATTCGTTTTTCGTATCTTGTTTTAAAGCTCCCGACGAACACAAACTTATTTCAGGCAACATTGTACTACAAGATAATAAATATGCAGATGTATTTCATAACGTTGGCCTCCGAACTGTGCCTCCGTTTTTGATTTTTTGAATTTCATTGAATGTTACATCTAGGGCTCGAAGTTCCGAGAGAAGATTGTTCCTCTGAGCGTTGACTGTTTTTACTATATGGCGTGCTCTTTTCCGAAATTTGGGTCCGTGACCGGTTCCTCATTCATGCAATAAAACACCAGATGCATGCACCTTTATATGAACCATAACTTCCAATACCTTTTCAGGGTTTGTCATCGCCGATTTCATAAATAATTTCTATTTAATTCTATATTTCCTGGCGTCACTACCGGTATACCCTCATATCTTTATTTAGGTTGATAGTAATTAACAGAGGCTCAATTGCCACAATAAACATATAAATACTCGGCGAATTTCATTTTCATATTTTAGTGATACTTCATTTCATCCAGCTCGCTGTCACTGATTGCGTACCGACACCCTACTGCCAGATTTACGATAACTTGACACGTTCAGTGATATTTTGCCATCTACATTCTGACACGCCTCGACCGTATTTCGTCACCCCTAATCTGACACCACCCCTAACCTGAGACCACGCAACGACCGTATTTCGCCACCCCCAATCTGACACGCACCGACCGTATTTTGCCCTAACTTGACTCGACGACCCTTTTCCGCCACGCCCATTTTGACACACAACGACCGCATTTCGTCACCCCTATACTTGCTTTAAATGTATTAGACGTCCAATATCACTGTATTATCGATCTAAAAAGTAAAAAGATAATTGTGGTAAATTAAGTTCAAATACAAAACCACTTTTAACTATGATAGATAGGCCTAGATATTTTTCATAAAATTACCGGAATATACGCTATGTTTGGTATTATATAGGTCCAGTTCAAAACGTGATGCTACTATTCTGACATGCGGAAATCAAATCATTAAGGTTTCTTCGCAGCGACCGTATTTTTTCACCACTAACCTGACACCACTCAACACCCCCTATTTCGTTACCCCCAATTTGATACGAAACGACCGCATTTCGTCAGCCCTATTTTGACACCTCCAATATGACTTCTATGCTGCCAACCCCTCTTTGGTGAGGGTTGCTTCAGTAGCGCTACTTGTCAGTTGCCGTTCTCAGTTTTTAATTTTTTTCCTCTCTGTAAAGATTGCTACCAAATTTTTTATGCTTAGTTTAAAATCCAAGTTGAACCCCTCCAAATACTGCTGGGTTTCGTTTCTTGACACAATAAACGCCCAGCCTTGTTCTCTGCAAAGAGGATAGAATTTTCATACTTTACCTGGGGGAGAGGAAAACCGATAACCGACTTAATCATATGGCGAAACATGGCCTCTCGTCCGGTTACCAGTCCATTTCAGGTATGCGATTACAGGATTAGTTAGCCGGTTATTTGATTCAGATGCGAAGTAGGCCCTAACCGACCAGCGGTTACGTGCAGTGGCAGGCAAATTCCCAACGCTTAGATCAGCCTTTGCCCTTCACATTCAAAAAAATCACAGAAAAAATCTTGAAGACTAGATTTATTGAGAAGGATTAAGAATAGCTCAAGTAGTACCAATAATAATCAGTAAACATCTCCATAAATAATAGTATCCTTGGCAGAAAATGAAGCCACAAATAAGCAAGAACATAAATTCTAGGCATTCCAACACTAAATAGCTCAATGTACAATTTAATACACTGTAAAAGGTTGAAACATAGAAGGCTTCGACGGGTAAAAAAAAGCAAGGCACAAAATGAATATTCATAAAATAGGAAACATGATTCACTGCGAATAGGTACTTAGAGAATGAATAATCAAAACATTTTACTGAAAGGTGCACTTTTCGAGATATTCAAAACTGTAAAAATATCAATCTGCCGTTGTAGTAAACAAATGCAATTAGTGATACCGAGTAAAGAATAATCCCTAATTCATAGGACATTGCCAAATATGGATGCGTTTCATGTTTGAGTCTCGGAAAAGAAAAGTAATATGTGGGCTTTAGCCAGAAATTTTAAAAGGGGATTCTGATTTTCTAATTGCCAAGTTAGACCGTTACAGCTAGCAGGTTGGGCCGGAGGCCAGAAACATGGGTTTTATTAAGTGTCTTGAGTGTCTAAAAAAACGTTTCATGCTACGAAAAATTGTTATGTATGATATAAAAAATGCTTTTTTTACTTTTTAAAAGAATGGGTTCCGATCCTCATCCCCGGCCCCTGGCTACTGCATGTAATACCAAATTTTTAAAAATTGTTATTTTGAATTAGGGTTTCCTAAATATCTAAAAAAAAAATTGTGTTAAGAGCTTATGAATGTTCATGATTCAAATTAATCTCGGACAAGAAATGATGAAATGCCAAAGATAGGATTTCCAGCAACTTTAGCTCATAATTTCATAATCAAAAAAGGAAGATAAATTGACATTTGTTTCAACAAAATCAATGATCAGTATAGAGAAAATAATACCAATCCTAAGATTTTTACGAGAAAATGATGCAGATAACTGGTTGAAAGTTGACACCGATTAGAAATTGTAATATGGATTGCCATTTTATTACCTAATTAAACAGGGGGAAATAGAAAGCAGACTTAAGACTTTAAATAAACATAATTCACTTTTAAAATTATAAGCATGCAAAAAAGTCCATCCAGTCGGAAAAAAAATAAAAATAATTAACCACCACAAAAGCAATGGTATTATATTGAAAATAATTAATGATAAATAATACAATTGCATACAAACATAACTTGTGCCGAGATAAGGATACACCTATGTAGTGATCATGCATGATAGGATATAAAAATTATTTTTTAGTCTACTATTCAATCTCATGAAGTAATGAATTTGTCGATATACTTTCTTGATTATGAAGTTATTAATAATGGTTATAAAACAATTATTTAAAAAAAAAACTGCGAAAAATTTCAAATTTTTCTAGTGTGATAGATGCAAAAAAACGAATAAAAAATACTCAACTATTATCTATAAACACGGGATACAAAAAGTTAGTATTTTGGACCAGTTTGGGTAGCAAAGATTGATTATAAAAACGACAGTCAGAAACAAAAAAAAAAAAGATTGACTTTCGAGATAGGTAGAGTTCGATGGTCAAAAAGCTTCAGTGATCATTGTAATCACAATCTTTCTGAATATACAGAAGGCTTCCGATTTCGAACAATGGTAAAATTATGATGGCGTCAATTATAAAGATAATCGTCTTCACTTTTTCACCATTTATTATCATAATATATGAATACTGTACGTTAATATAATATTTATAGTTAATCAATTATCAGTACTACAAATCAGGATGTAAAAACAATGGTTCCCAATATGGGTTCGATTAACCCCATAAACTGAATAAGTTGTTTTTATGGATTCCACCAAGACCAAGTCACTCACTCTTCCACACACTTAATTTTGCGGTATGTCGTCAAACGTAGTAAATTCCAAAATTCAGTTCGTAAAAAAATAATATTCGATATACCGGTATATAGATTCAGATATCCCCAAAAAATCAAATCGAAATTAGTCATATTCAATATTATATGAATCTAAAAATAAATTAGTAAGCCTTTATTATCATCATTTTGAGCAATTTAAGTTTCAAAATGTAACCAAAAAAGGACATTTATTTTTCAGAAAACTATAAAACCAATCAAATCATTGTCAATCTTAGATTTCTTACATTTCCACTCATTGGATAATAATTGACTTTTTTATGATCTTTGCTGAACATGATCAATTTAGAATAAATTGTAATCTATATTAGTCATATTATTTTAGAGTTTATTCAGATTAGTAGGTTTTAGTCATCTGTGGTGCTCAGGTGGGTTGATTCATTGCACAATGAATCTTACTGGAATCGAGTAATATGAAATGGATTGGGAACCACTGGTGATGAGTGTGGACCTATTACAGACATCAGCTAAAGTATACAAAGCTTCATAATCTATGTTTTGTCAAACTCATATATATATAATATAGTGATCACATCTAAAGAAATTACATAAGGCAATTTATTCTAAGCATAATTTTGGCAACTGCAAGAGCAGAAAGAAAAAAGTTAGGAAAAAGTACCGTCACATGATTAAACAAGACTCTTACCAATATAAAGTCCATATAAGAAGGATAGAAACATTTCACAATCAATTGTGTGATATAGTGATATGGCGTTGTTTGAACCTGATTAAAACTAAAAAGTGATGTCATAATCAACAAGACGTCAGCTGCTGGTGAAATGAATTGTCAGGAAATTGTGTGAGACAGCTCGAATAACATTTTCAAACTACCGCTCTAGTAAAGAAAAACTCATCTTGTATATCAGGATTTTTTCACATGATTAGGCAATTTGGAACAGGATAGCGGAAATTAGGAAGATAACAACAAATAATACAGGAATCTGTATGATGCATGTTATTCAAGTATAAAATAATGTAAAACAGAAGGGCCTGTTATATTATTTCTGCTTTTTATATGAAACACCATATGGGACAAAGTCTTGTAAAATCATACACTTTAAAGTTGGTAATTCTTATATCATAATGTGGTGGTATTTGAATAATATAAACAAAAAAATTAGTAACATTAAGTGTTGATAACAAAGAACAGATAAAAACTGCCAATACTTGGACAAAATCAACAACACTGGTGATCTACACCCGAAATTCAAACAAATTTTTGGTAAATTTTAAAAAGTGAATGCATGTAACTAGGGAAAGAAGCAAAAAAAAAGTAATAAAATATAATGTTTAGACAGAAAAATGTTTAACTCTCAATTCAATGGCACACTAAGAACTATTACAGTTCTTCAATGAAAATTTGTCAAATTGACGTTTGTGTTAGATGGCCACTCAATTAACAATCTCGATGTTAAAAAAAACAGCAATAAGATAAAACGGCTGCCCGGATAATAAACAGATAGTTTAGTTTAGTAAAACGGCATTTCTATCTATGATGCAGACCATCTCTTATATTATTGGTATCCGTTGCCAATCCTTCTCCCATTTCCCTCCAAACATGTCCATTTAGATTGTCTGCAGAAAGAAACATTATTTAATACGTATCAGAATTGTATCCTTATGTGAAGGCATTTCAATAGGCAAAATACATCTGTGAATTAAATTGTACAACTAACAACTAATTCTACTGAAAGGTACCGATTTTCTCAAGTTTAACATATGCGAGTTGTGAGATCTATATGATATACCAGTCTATCATAACAGTTTTAAGAAACTCTATACCACAAGCAATTCAAATGTAAGGAAAGATTTTGAAATGACCAAATTTTGCTCACACGTAAGATAAATTCTAGTGCCTTCAGTGCAGAATTTTCATATTAATCCTGATAGGGAAGCAATATAAAAAAATTAACATTGATCTTATGGCGAAGCACAGCCTATCTCACTTAGTTATCAGTCCTGTTCGGGTATAGGAATAGTTACATAGTTGAGAATTGCAGATGAATGACTAGGAAAGGCGTAAGTAATGAGAGACCAGTGTTTATGCAAAACACTCTACGTCAAAGAGAAGTTCGCAATCATTTTTGCTTTTGCGCATGTTATTCACTGATCTCAAATTTTTCAATTACTTCCTGGAAATTGCAAAATAACAAATAAAACCTGTACCCAAATAAGGGTTCTTTTTCAGCTTTCCATTTATTCCAACAGATTCAGTATGTCCATTCAATTCTTCTCTGCCTTTTCTTCTCGACTTTGGCAACAAAAATATTAGAACAAAACAGAAGATATGACCACAAAAATAACAAGACCTGCAATCAACAAAATAATAAATGTATTCATTCGTGTTCATATAACTGATTTATCTAGTGTGTAAACTTAATTTCAAAATCATGGAGTAATGGGATTTTTTAACTTCTTATTAAATTAGGATTTCATCTCTCTGAAGCAATGGGTTGGTGCCTATCTATGTGGATATTGTAAGTCAGTGTCTAGCTCAGGCTGGTATTGTGATTATAGTAAAGAATCACAGGTTAATATTTTCATATATTCCTGGGGGGAGAGAAAGGTAGTGGATGAGACAACTCAACCACATGAAGAATGACGATCTTGTTCAATTACCAGATCATGTCAATTATGGGATTAGTTAACTAACCGGTTATTTGTATCTCATACATGAACATGATATAGGAGGAAGCCGTAACTGCAACTGTTATGTAACAATAGAAGACTACTTGATGCAATTTCACAAGCTGCAGTTTATTTATTTTCTAAACCAAATTTAGCGAACATGAGTGATTTTTTAGAAGATCATAAAAGTAAACACGAGAATATCGGTCATAGACCAAAGACTTATCGATCAAAAATTAGGGGATCCCCCAAAACAGAAACTGCGGTTCCAATTTGAAAAATTCTGCAAATTCGAACTGAATTGTTTCGATTAGTTTCCAGTCAATAGCCTATTTACCAATCCTATATTTTGTGTCAAATACAACGGCGCTAACCCGGGTTGGGACGGCTATTCAAACACAGCCTAGCGATATTTTGGGGAGGAATTCTGCAACCCCGAACCTGATAGAGGGATATGGACATTGCTTAAACTTTAAAGAGTAATTATAAGTAAAGAGATACGATCTCGTGGCGTGTATCCTTCGCTCTGACTCAATAGCGTGGAAAATTATTTCTCGAAGGAAACTTGCGCATCGCGACGTCATCAAAGTTACAAGAGAGATATGGACAATGCTTAAAGATTAATCTCTCCATCACTAATTAATTAATAACTTGCTAATTATACGACATAATTCATCCACAATCAATCAGGTTCCTGATCCGAGATATGATGAATGCACATGCAAAATTTGAAGCAGATTCAACCACGCTTTCGTGAGATATCGCGTGTATCTAACAGACAAACAAACAAATACCTATCAACATACTTACCGATCTTAAGATCGATAAGTAAAAATCCACTTACGTGTAAAACCTGAAAGATGCTTCAAATTCGAGAGTAACAAATGGAATTACAATATATGAGATGGCGAGCTGTGTTGCAAACCAAGTAAATATTCCATAAATCACTTTCAAATTTTCACTAGTCTGAAATAATGGACGAATTGTGGAACGGAACTGAAAAAAAAAGTTGGGACATTTATTTTAAAAAGTGGAAAATGACAATGATACAATATTGTCAAATATGGTACAGGGTAACCTCATAAAACAATTTGTCGATTGGGGCATATTCTAGAGAGAAAATAACTTTTGTGCAACGCATGATAGATTACTGAAACTCCATTACTGAATCATACACAAACAGGAGTTCAAGTGTTACATTTTTTTTTTTATTAATGTAATTGAGAAATTTATTCGTCATGTTTGGGTAACCCTGTATATATCAAATAAATCTTCTAAAAAATAGTCAAAAATCAAAATCCAACCTTTTTTAAAAAAAGATCTTAAATCAACAGTAAATAAGTAAAATCTAACATCAAGTAGAAATTTATTAGCAAATATGTTATAAATTAGAAAATACCTAAAACAAAACTATTAAGCGTGCTCTATGCATTTTCTCTGTGACCAACCAACCCTAATGTGTAATGCAGACCCAACTAGGGCTGTCCAAGCGAACCAAATATTCGAAATCGAATCGCAAATTATTCAAATCATTTTTCAGCTAATTTTCGAATCGCTAAAATTAGGTACATAAAGCGAAAACAACCTTTGCAGGCAGGAAGTTCTTCATCGGGCAAGCGGCGCGCTTCGAGTTTAGACCACTCTCGCTCCCGGCTTAATTGGTTTCCCGAAATTTCTCTCGCCTTCATTTTGTGATAAAAATCTCATTCCTAATGCCCGGTAGCACATGTTTGGCCCATTTCATGCATGGTGATTATAACTTAAAAGTTATAATCGGTAATGACGTTTTTGAGAGAGAACAAGGAGAAAAGGGCAATTTAGAAAACGATAGTTCTATAAATAGAATCGATTTGAAGCTGTTGAGTTAGTTATCATAGTAAGATGGTACAGGCAACTCAAAGCTGAAACGGGTACTGTGGGATCCTTATGATGGTAATACCTTCTTTCAATGGAATTTGTAATTTCCCATGATGGCAATGCTGTATTACCCATCTATATACCAAGACAATTAATTGCACTATTGAATGTTGGCAACAATATTATAGTCATCAAATAATATTGTCATCGAACTAGCTTCAAATTTGTTACTTGCAATTTTGAATTTGAGCAACAGTTTTATCTATATTAATGGTTGGTATCATTTTGTTGAAAATTACACAAAAAAACATGAGACTAGTGATAATAGGATTAAAATAGCATCTACAGGCTTTACATGCCCTATTAAAACTTAATCCATTAGAATTGAGAGAGCAATTTTTAAATTGTGCAATTTTTCCTCTTAATTAACACTCAACAGTTTTCGAAACCCAAATTTTGGAGTCCTCCAATTTTTTTGACCAGTTTATACAAGCGTGTGATCTCCTTTCATAAATCTGAAAACATTGTATTGCAAAATACCAGCAGTAAGTCAAATGTGACTGCACATACATTACCACAACATCAAAGGACAGGCGTTTATAGTATAATAGAGACAGATTTAGGATTGCGCAATAATATTCGATTATTCGGTTCGATTCAGCGAAAATATTCGATTCGAATCAAAAATTATTCGATTTTGGACAGCCCTAGACCCAACCAAGTTTAGTATTTCAACCACAAAGCATTTTGTCACCCTTATTAAATAATGAACTTAAAATGCAAGTTTTTTGTGAAAAATCCCCAAAGAGGCCATCCTCTTACCTTTCTCTGAGTGAGTGTTATGATATGTCCAGAGAAGAATGTCATGTAATATCCAGGAAAGAATCCATGCCACATAGCAGATAATAAAAATGTTAACTGCGTTCTGTATGCTGATGGTGCTCGGTCGTAACATACTCTAGAAAATTATATAAAAAGAGTGGTTCCAGTGTATCAGAATTCATTTTTGGGAGTATAAAGTTAGTAACATACAAACTAGAATATCGGTTAAAAAACGAAGACTTATCGATCGAAGGTTAGGGGATCCCCCAAAACAGTGGTCTCACTCCATAGTGACACCGTGTGTCCCATCACTAATTAATTAATAACTCGCTAATTATAAGACATAATCCATCCAAAATTAATAGGCTTCTGATCCGAGCTATGATGAATGCACATGCAAAATATGGAGCAGATTCAACCTCGCTTTCGTGAGATATCGCGTGCATCTAACACACAGCTAAACAGACAGACAAATACCTATCAACATACTCACCGATCTTAAGATCGATAAGTAATAATGGATATATTATATCATTAGTATAAAGGCCTTTCAGTCTACGAGGTAGCATAAAACGATTTGAAATAGAAGTTTAATTTTCAGTCACCCTCATCCAATACTTTTGCATGGGCCCAATAAACAATATACTGTCCCTATAAATCAAAACTTTTTGAACACCCTTATCAACATCTATTTTAATTTTGAACAAGAGTCCAAGTAATACCTTCTTAGCCACTTCACAGTCATCATATTCCAGTTGTCAATATAAAGTTTGAAACTTGTAGCCATCTGAAATATATGTATGTATATTACGGTATGGACATAATGAGTAACATTTGACAATTCAAAGTGGATTATATATTTTTATTGTAACTTCAGTAATCGCTTAGTATTTAATCGCTGAATGCCTTAACTTGGTTAATCGCCACCGCCTCAGATAATTTCCAAAAAGCATATTCAGTTGCTGAATGCCTAACCTTACCTAATCTCCACTGCCTTACCTAATTGCCAAATTTAGTTTCTGAATGCCTCAACTTATATAATCGCCACTGCCTTAATCATCAAAAAGCATATTTGATCGCCAATGCTTTGACTTACTTAATCGTCACTGTCTTACATACTCACCAAAAAGCATATTTATTTGGTAAATGCCTTAACTCACTTACTATTTGGTATATGCCTTACTCAATCGCCAAAAAGCATATTTAACTGCTAATGGTGGCATTTGAAAAATCTCTTACTAGACTATTGTCGGTCAAATTGTATCAAAGTTTTTTTTATGAAAATCACAAATATTAAATCATAGTTGAATTCCAATAACCATAACAGCCTACACAAAACGCAATTTCATGCACATCACCCATAAATTGCATTATCAATCAACCATCCAACATCTGATGGGATGTTTCCCCAACCCCTAACCTCAGAAAAACTACATCTACTTTGCCAAAACTTGTTATGCTCTTTTGAAATTTATTTTGTAGAGTTGGCCTTTATAAACTGGTTCACATATTCAAAAGTTCAAAACCATCATTTTTATTAAAATTATTTACCAGCTGCATCTCACAGATATTGAAAGCGAATTTTAGCCTGGTCTATCCTGCAGCATTTGTTGGGACTAATTTTTGATTATTGTAACTAAACTAAAGCTCCTCGAAAAACGTAATGACAATTGAATTATTTGATTTACTATTTTTTGGAAACACAACTGAAAACTGACAAATACCACGAAATGGGAGGAATGTTTACAACCTAGCTTGAATTTCAGTTTGAGCGAAAGCCATGTCTCGAGCAGCTGCACAAATTGCAATTGTTATTTCACTGTTAACTTATTGCTGATTGACCATTGCTATGGAAATAAACATCCATAGTCAGCGGCTTATAGCATTACATTTATATACAAAAATTGATGTCATCCACTTTACCTCAATGCCAAAAAAATCAATGTTTGAAAACTTATTCCATCGTGGTTTTCCATTCTTTTCATCATAACCATTGAATCCAAGTCCCGCTGTATTACAAACTGAGTCAGCTGAAAAACAAAGAATTATTATCTTACTACGAGAAATGATAAATTTACCAACAACGAGAAATGGAATTTTTATTTTTGGAACTAGAAAATAATACCTCTATGAACTGCGGTAATTTTAAATCTGGTATGAACTAAATCAGCATTTTTCAACCTGGGGTGAACTTTCTTGTTTTTCGGAGTGAACAAATTCAAAATGTAAACCAGCGGGGGGTGGGCCCATAGGAGGGGGGACACAATGTTGGGCGCGAAACTGATTTTAATTTTCTCTCTAACAGAAAATTCCCTGTTCTTCCTAGTTTCTTTCGTTGCTTGATAAGGTTATTTTTTAAAGGGTGTTTTCACTTTGTTGAGCATGAATTCTCATAATCTAATAGGATTCAGAATCTACCAATCAATATAACACTATAAATACCGCTGGAATGAAAAACAGGGGAGTCATGATTGCTAAAAGCCTCTGAAAGAGGCCACAGGCTATATAGGGTTTAGAAACCACTTGTATGAACAAAAAAAAATTGAATCTAAAGAACGAATCCGACTTGACTTTCAATCTGACATTCGTTGTGCAATATAAAATCTTGCACTAGATATTAAACAGCTGGTTGCCAATAATCACGGGCAGCCGTCATATTAGATGATTATATGAAAAAAATTTGCTAATTTCGTTTTACAATAAATGACAATCTGACATTCGCTGTGCAATATAAAATTTGGCACTAGATATTAAACAGCTGGTTGCCAATAATCACAGGCAGCCGTCATATTAGATAATTATATGAAAAAAATTTGCTAATTTTGTTTTACAATAAATGACAATCTGACATTCGCTGTGCAATATAAAATCTTGCACTAGATATTAAACAGCTGGTTGCCAATAATCACGGGCAGCCGTCATATTAGATGATTATATAAAAAAAAAATTTGCTAATTTCGTTTTACAATAAATGAGCACCATAAAGTTCATTGGGAGTACAAGCTTCCACGGTTAATGAGAGGACAAAAATTGTTTTGCTGCTCCATGACTGATATAATTGGATAGAGGATAATATAGGAAATTATCATTAAAGAGGCATACTGTCTGACCTCATTAAAAACTCTTCAAGTGTACCACAGGGAAATGTGGGGGATTACTGGAAGCACATTTAGAACTTTTAACCCAGGAGAGAAAATCAATTTCAAATCAAGTTAATACCACATGTACATTGAATGCTTGATGCTTCCATAGGGTATTTTTACACAATGGCTCTGTACGAAGCACCACTGATATGTAACGTCTACCATATTTTGGTAGAATCTTTCCAATTCGGCATTGCCCACCCATCTTATTACATGCAGGGGGAGGTAGGTTGGCATGAATTTTGAATCAAATTTAAAATCATAGTAGAAAAAATGTTCTATATTTTACCACAATCCACAGAGTCATTGTTACCAAAATAGGGGTGATATTGTTGAAAAGAACACAACACAATTTTTAAAACTTTTAAGCAGGTGACAAAAGGCCCAAAGCAGTCATACATCAAAGATTGAACATCTCTAGGATTAATCCCATTCTGTCCATCTCATACATGGTTAAATAAATTTGGGTAGGTAAAGCTGAAGCGGAAAGACTCTTCAGTCCATACATGTAGTTGCATATTAGTGGTTTCTGACATAGGGCCTTGTTCTGGGTAAAAGGCGTGAATACGAGTCTCATAGAAATCTTCTAAAGAGAAATTCTCCTAAATAATTGCAAATTGGCTGTTTCAGAATTTACATTATGTCTATCATTTGTCTGACCATCTGATGCAAAATTGGCATATATTTTTGAATGGAAATATTCCTTCTAAAATCATATATTTACTAACCATACTATTAAATATAACCAATTTTTATAATCGGATCACCACTGTTTCCATGTAAAGCCGATTGATATTCATATCAAGAGAAAAACTAATTCAAATTCAACAACAAGGCTGCTAGAGATGAAAGGACTGTTGCCATCTGATGTGTTGTTATTTGTCGGTTTTCGATTCTTTGGGGAATTGAAGGAACTTATGTAATTCAAGCGACATGATCTGCTATATTCAGCTGTTGGCAAATGACTGAGCAACAATATTGATGATTCAGCAATCATTAGATACCCTTTGCCCGACTTTTAAGAGGCTCAAATAACGAATGAAGGAGTGAGATTCAAGATTGCATAAAGCTTTGTGTCAGAGAGAATTTGAAATGAATACTTTTCAGATGCATATATTCTAAAATCTAAATTATTCCTGAAATCAAGAATATACAGAATTGAAGAAAAGAAATTCCGAATTCATTCATATATTTAACCCTGATCAGTTCACATCTCTACAAAAAACAAAGTGGTCAAAAAACACAACATTTGAATTAATATATTCCCCAAAACATGGGAAATAAACAAACATAAAATTCACGAAAAACGAATTATGTCATTTCATTTGAAAATGAAACCATCGTCCATCAAAATAAAAAGTTCAAACCGGCAGAGACATCATTATGACAATAGCAATACAAATGCATAATAATGATGGCTTCTAAGTAAGCACCCTGAGGCAAAATAACTCTAGTTTATGATGAATGAAGCAATAATAATAAACTTGGCAACAGATCTCCATGCAGTGAAAAAAAGATAGAAACATTAAATAAAGTTAATACAAATTGGAAATACTAGGAAAACAATATAATTTAAACGCCTTTTTGAAAATAACAATGCAACCTACTTACCCAGGAACCATGCAACATAATATTTTGTTCGAGCAAAAAACAATGACATTTGCAAAAAAATTAATTTTTCTATCCATCCTGTGTTTTGCATGTATTCCACATCTAAAAATGAAAAGTGCAGTCATAAGCAAGCCTATTATAACTTACATTATCAGGCAACTTTTCAAACTCACATACAAATCACAATGCATTGGGCATTAAAGTACTGCAAAGAATTTTTTTACAATATATGCACATTTTGACCAATTCAATGCATGAGCTTGTTTTAGTGCGGATAAACTATCAAATCAGCGGAATGTCGATATACCTAGTCATATTTCAGACCTCCAGAAGTATGCGCACCAAGATGACGCACAACCTGAACATAGTATGTGTGTACCGGTTAGGATTCAGGTTGTGCGACATCTTGGTGCCCATCCTTCTGGAGCACCAATATTTCTCTCTCAGTTAATTTTGATAGATTTGATTAGTTTTGTGTCATGTTCTCACCGAAGTGGGTCAGTGGCCTAGTGATTAGAAACATAACACCAAGCTATGGTGGCACTGCAGTTTAAAATGTCGAGTTTGAATCCCCTGCCAACCACCACATTACTCAGGGTATAGTAAATTGGGTATGTAATGCCAAGCTGAAGATTCCTGCTTCTTCAATTTTTCATTACGCTCTCTCAATATTTTTTAGAAAATGGGTTGATATTTCATACCAAACTAAAAATCATCTTGAAATTATCAAGAACCACCGACTTACACAATAGAGATATTGGGTTGAAAAAAAATAAGTTTATCGAATTTTTCAATTTCAGTTTGAAATTTTCCAGCTACCTCAGTTTACCACTAAGTTAGTATTTCAACTTGCAGATTGAGAACATAGCCATGAGAATTTATGAAATATGATTATATGACAATTAACATTTGTGAGTGTTCAACTGAGTCAAAAGGAATTTCAAGTAACAAACAAAACCTGTCTTACCTGTGTTTCTCAAGTACGGAAATGCCGAACAACCATATATGAAGAAGGCTGCCATGATAATGCCAAAAATAAGCTTCTTCAGTGCGCTGGCCTGAGTTAAATAAATAAACAAAGAAATGAGTGAGAGGAAACATATGACTAACGTGACTCAGGAATGAGATCAAACTTTACATAATCTGTGATTCCAAATTTTGATTTACATGGGAAATATATAAAAATGAGCAGAATACGAAAAATAGCAAAGCTAATGAATAAAATATTAAGAATAAGTGTATTGCTCTAATTTTAGTGAACATGGAGTCTTTAATAGAGATGAAAAATCAAACAAACTAAACAACTTTGACTTCGTTCTATGGTTCAACAACCATATAGAATATATGATAAGGTAATTATGCACAAAAAATATATTGCCGTGGTTGATTATAAATGTATTTCTTACAGTGACGGACAGTGCTTAACGTTAAATATCAGGCAAAGTTATTTTTAAGTAAGTCAACACAGACAAATAAAGAAGAAATTGTTTGCATGAATAAATACCGGTAATATAAATTCATTAAAATTCAAATGTGACCTCTCTTGCCAACCTCAGCCTATATCTCAATAATTCATAAAACCAGCTAACAAATTTGGGAACGCAGTTATGGTATTGTTTTTAAAACGCCCTGAGAACACCTATGCTTGCTTATTAATAATATAATACTATTTATAATAGGAAAATAATAGAAAAGAAAAAATAGTACAAACCAAATATGGTGGATGAACATTGGATGGCTTTTCATCCTGAAAGAGAAAATAAAAGTCAAATAAAGATTATTGTGTGGCCGTGGTGACCTGGTGGTAAATAAAGTGTTAGACATAGCTGTGATGTGATCGCCAAATAAAATCTGAGGTAGTAAATCCCATGCTTACATAAGATGTAACAAATTGGGTCGGAACTGCCTTCAGTACTACTATGAGCAATTAAGGTAGCTTAAATTAAATTTTTGAAACTGAAACTGAATTTTCTCATTTTTTATACAAGAACGTCGTCGAGTCGTAAATCAATAACTGATGACCTTGACAAGTTCATTTTGAAGTATGCTAGTTTGTTTTGAGCTAATATTACACCAGTGATCGCTCACAAGCATCTAAGTGATAGAAGTATACTAGATATCACACTCCTGATTGCCCTGAGCAGAGCCTTCTAGTGCAAAATACAAATCTTCCAACACTGAAAATTTCAAACCAACTGCGATTTTTTCGTACGGAAACAACAAGAACAAGAATACAAAATGGTCCTCTTTGTCTCCGGTGAAGGAAGTAACTCAAATAAACACTGATTAAAATAAAACAAACCTAGTTTAGATACATTGAGAACAGACTCTATAACAAAATAAGGATTGTGAAAGGACTGGATGAACACCAGTTATATTTTCATGTCTCTGGAACTTTGAACAGTTAGGCTATTTCCATACCTGGCCCAATTTGATAACCAGAAAAAAAGGTATTGTTGCCACACAAATAAGAAATTATTTTTCCTTTACTATTTAATAGATATAAGAATATGAAAAAAGGATTATACATACGTCTTTTAATTTGTAATTTGTTCCATTTATAAAAGAAATATAATCTTGGTAGAAAACAAACGGTCCAGCTAGTACGCTCGTGAACATAAAACAATAGCTGAAGTATTCCAGAAAACTTGGAAACTTTCTGAAGAAAAGAAAAAACATAAAATATAATGGCACATACCTACAATTGGAACAATGGTCATCATATTTAAAAAAGATGAATTGTAATTACGGGGTTGCTGATGAGAACGAAAACGACAGAAAAGATATAGTAAGGAAGAACAGAGGTAGTTTACTGTAACTTACAAATAATAATTTAAAAACTCTCTTTTTTTAGCGTATAAGTTGAGGATATTTCATTCTCACTAGCGCTAAGGTTAATTTTTTGTCTACTCTAGTTGTCTCTTTTTTGATCATTTTAGAACCCCACAACTTTAAATCCTTCACCGAAAATGTCTTAAAATCAAAGGTTTAATGTATCCTATACGCAAATTCAGTGTAATATTACAAGAAAGGTGAAATTTAGCACTATAAACGGTGATTATTTGCTTCATATTATACTGTTGAGACAACATGATAGTATAATTACAGCTAAGACATTGTTTTACCATAAATATAGACTATCTAAAAATATAACCTAGACCAGGGGTGGGCAACTTCTCTAGTCGGCGGGCCGGATGTGGGAAAATGAAGTCCTCGGTGGGCCGGATTATTACATGAATGTTTACAACGATCTCTGCTTTGACCTTGTATGTATGTATGTTTATTTGTCTCGTAAAAGCAACAAAAGCGTAGATAAATTATCATTACTGAAGACGGGATGTATGCACAAGACCATACCGGCCTGAAACACGATTTACTGTTATACCTTATATTGTTTGCTTAAAAAGTGTGCTAACGCATTGTTTGTTCACTAAGGCAATTGTTTATTTCACAGCTCGCCCTGACAGTGCGGTGAGAGTAGAGCGATCGGCAACTTTCAGGAATGATGCAGCGGACCACATTACGAAGTGTAGTTGGATACAGTCAGCGGGCCGGTCAAAATTTCGTCGCGGGCCGTATGTTGCCCACCCCTGAACTAGACTATCATGCTATAGTCTATAATCAATATAGCTCTCTAGATGTTAAACAATGGAACAGTTAATTTTTCAAGCAGGGGCGTAGCCAGAAGAGAGAAGCGGGGGAGGGGGTGGCTGAACCCGCTAGCTGAATCGGTCTAACTTGGCAATTAGGAATCCCAGTAACCCCAATTAAAAACTTCCTCGCTACAATCTTGCTTTCAAGCAACATTGGTGTTTCATTACGACTATTCCTCCCTTATCAGCACATCATTCAAAGACTAGCAGCATTTAAAGCACAGCCAATTTTATGATATTTGTTTAAAAAGCATTTTCCCATCTGACGAGTAATATTAAATCATTGTATTTATAAACAACTCACTTAACAGCATATTTCTTTTGGTCTTCGCTTAAATCTTTAGGATTTTTATGAAGACCTGTAAAAGTTGAAACATAAATACATAAAAATTCGCCTAAGAATTACATAATATATTTAATTTTACACAATTTTATGCATACGTGTTACACGACACAGTTGATTATGATTTATAAGACATTTTAGCGAACAAAAATGATGTCTAGTTTGATGGACGAGACAAATAATAAATCTATACTTTTGATCACATTCTTAAACAATTTTTTAATTTTGAATATGGATTATCAAATTCACTCAAAATTTGAGCATGTTGAAAGAACATGTAAAATTCAATCTATATTTAAAGAGTTGGAATTTAGAAATGCATGAATGATGAGATAACCCAATAACTATATTTTAAATATTTCAGAACTCAAAAACAACTCAAAACTTTTGGTTACACTGTGGGTCTCTGATTGCTCAAAATGATATTTTTCCAAATGAAACCATTGTAAATTATTTCTAAAATCGTGGATTTAAAATATTTTATATAATTAATTCCAACTACATTCAATTTGACAACCAATCGATTCGTTTTTTGGACATCCCTCTTTTAAATCTGACCTGGGATAAAAATATTCCAGATATTATAAAACAATATAGCCTATTGAAATACATACCATCGTGAATATTAAATGCAATTGATGTTATCCTTTGGGTAAGAATCATGTTCGGACTGAAATTAGAGAACAGTGGATAAATATATTATGTCCACAAAAATATTATGTTGAATATAATTTACAAAGGAACAGACTTACAATCGACATTCTAGCTAACGGTAATTATATAGATCATAATTATGTGCATGCGACTTTTTTTTCAGTTATTTTCAGTAATATAATATTGATAGGAGTTAGGTGGCCTAGCCAAAGTGTTTTGTGCTTTGAAGGCTAAATTTTCTCAAAGGGAGGTAACACGTACTCAATCAACTCAATGAATCAATCTCTAAGGGAAATTACAGATGGCCACTGAAATGAGAAAGTCTTAATAGGCAAAATTCTTCTTAACGAAGTAAAATTTATTTGAGTTTTGTCACTATTGTCACTTGGAATTGCATAAATTGAGTCTCATTTCTCTTCAGCAGAAAGAGTGGAGTAAAGACAGAGGAGAATATCTCGTAGAAAAAGTAAAATGTAGAAAAAATAAAACATAAAGATCCCAGTTTTTTTTACACTATTTTTAAAAAGCATATCACGAAATGGCACATACTAAATTGTAAATCAAAAATATGCAATAACCGGTACTATTTTCAAGTTATTCCTATTCAACAACCTGCCAATAACATCATAAAACAAATTTACACATTGACGTCAAAAAACTCAGATGATCTTCAAAATTAGTAAAACCTCAAAGCAATCAAACTCAGCAATAAAGATAAATATTTAATGACATCAGAAAAAAATTGAATAACTTTTAATAAATATTTGTAGTAAGTTCATGTCACACTCATGTTATAAATATATCTATATATGGATACAATCATATTATGTGCCAAGGGTTCCAAAATATTGCATTTTAAAATGAATTTTGTAACTTCCAGTGTTGTTATAAAACTCAAGATTTTAGAGTTCAGATTACCTTTGTGCAAAAAATTTGATGCATACGGGAATAATTACTTTAAACCCTTCATTGGGCTTAACATAGGTCCCAAGGTAACATAATCAATTACAAATCGAAAAAGAGATTTACGCTTGCGGTTGAACTAAGGTTTGGAAGATTACCTTGACAAGCTGATAAATAGACACAAAACTATAAAAAAAAATATATCTCCATGATACTCAAAATTTTTATTAGAGGCTTTGTTGGGCGTAAGATTTCTTTTGATGCTGAAAATGGGCACGAGAGAATGAAGGTTGAAAACCTGCTTTAAACTTCAATATGGGTCACCTTAACATTAAATTTCACTGCATTACAGTTACAGATCAAATTAATAGATTACATTAGAAAAAATTGCTGTGGGACCAATTTCACCTATTATAGTATTATGGTCATGATGGTATGGATGCTAACAGTGAAAAATTAATATTTCGTTGCGGCTGACTTAGAGTGACCTGAAACATCACACGTCTATTTGCTTGTGATTGATCAAGTGAGACTAGGTGTGGTTAAATGATTTGGCCAACCAGAAAAGCCCTTTCTTTTCCAAGTAAATACCGGTTGCTATTACCATCACTATGTAAATATTGAAACAAAAACTCGAACAATAGAAAAAAGAGCACAGAATAGAGAAAGGAGACTCGTAGTAGAGACTTCAATCTTTATTTCACAAAGTAGAAGTTGAATACGCCCACATAAAATAATGTGTAATGGAATATGAGATTTAGCATTTTTTAATGATTTCCACCAACAATACTATCAAATAGAATGTTTAACTATATGCATAAAACCTAACATATGAGGAATGAAAAGCTTAAAACTAACTTAATGCAGTCTTGAAATAGAATTTTTGACTAAAAATTGTCTATCCCCGAAACATATTTTTTTGACATAGATAATAGCTTGTCTATATTTGCCATATTTGATTTTGCTCGATCATATCAAACCTAGGCCTATATATCTTTACAGAGATATGAAAATAATAATTAAAAAAGCCTCGACAAAACAACTTACCCTGTAAAGTCTGTGGAAGTTCTTCCGCCTTCCGAATTGAATGAAATTAATCGACGAAAATGAATTGTTGACAAAAACACCATTGAAAAAACAAACGTAACTCTAAACAAATAAGTGAACAGGGTAATAAAAAAATATAAAAAAATCGTAATAAAAAAATATTAATTCAGAAACCTAGGCATTAAAAAGCTAGTATCAAGCCCTGATATTTATAAAGACTCAAGATTACGAATGTTCAGCATAATATATAGCAAAATTTTTTCCTAACAAAAGTTCTCAACAAATACGCAAAATCCAGATTCATACATATATTTTAGGAGTATCAAAAAATTCAGATCATTTTATCAATGCTGAATGCCAGGCTCCAAAAAGTAACTAAAAATAGAGATTCAACAATGTGATTCATCAGTGTATTAAAAAATGATGGTATGATTATTTTTGCTACTGATAAATTAATCAAATATTCAATGTATGTACATATACACAAGTTAACTTACTTATATGCATATTTTGGATTCAAATACTTCAGTAACAAATATGTCACAACAGTGTCAGTGACTGAGGTTATCACATTCCTGAAATATACAAGCAGAAATTAAACAAATGTAGCTTACATTTATGATCTAAATAAAACTGGAATATTTGTAATATATGGAGAAGGATACTACCGTAGTTTAGACTACTTCATCATATTTCTGGAATTCAACAACAATTAAACTTTCATTTTGATAAAAAGTTTAGAAATATCTATGGAATAATATAAATATAGGTTCCGTTATCTCTACATGGTAAATATGATCATAATATTTTTTTGAAAATATTCTATTACGATTGACTACAAACTCTGCATTAGGAAACTTTTGACTTCCTGTGTGTGTGGGTGTGAATGTGTCAGAATAGCAATCAAAAGTTTTGGTTGAAGAAAACAAAAGTAGAACGAATACAAATTTACGACCCATCCCAATTAGTTAAAATTATTTAATTACGATTGAATACAAGCGTACTATGCATTAGAAAACTGACAACTGGTGATTGATAAGCATCATAAATTCATTTGACTTCCTGCATGTATGTGTGTGAATGTGTCAGAACGACAAACGCTTCAGTCCAAGAAAACAAAAGTAGAATCGATACAAATCTACAACCATCCCAAATAGTTTAAAATTATTCAATTACAATTGTATACAAACGAACTATGCACTAGAAAACTGACATCTGGTGATTGATAAGCATTATAAATTCATTTGACTTCCTGCGTGTATGTGTGTGATGTGTGAATGTGTCAGAACAGCGATCAAACGCTTTAAGAAACATCCAAGAAAACAAAAGTAAAATTGATACAAATGTATGACCCATCCCAATTAGTTAAATTTCTGATTTCAAATTGATTTCAATTTCAAGTAATTTAATAAGTAAATTTTAAGCAAACAAATATTAGCAAATTTTACTTCAAAAATATTAGAAAAACTCAGTAAAATCTGATTTTATTATGAATTTTAACCAAATCAAATTACTGGTATATAGCCAGCCTTATATCAAGTATATAAAAGCTCAACCAGGCGACGGACTTCTAGCCGAAAAAGTTATTTTCAAATCATACAAATGTTTTATTTGTTTTACTTGCCTTTGGGTGATGTTATTTTGCTTCATAGAATTTGGTTAAAAATATTTGACTACATATACATATATATAGTCAAATATATGTACCAACAAACTATCACAGTTCAAACTATACTTTAATTACTAAACATGAAACACACTCTTCAATAACCTATTATTTTAGTTTACCATTGGTAATTAACTCTTTATTAACATGAATAGCTCTCACTCTCAGAGTAACACATATGGTTAGAATATGCATGCAATCACTTTTCTTGTTGTAGTCAAATTCTGTGTCTGAGGAAGTGTGACCTTCGTCAGACGAGACATTACAGAAATATATTGTATAATTGTAACAGACTGAACTTATCATAAAAGAAAGTGACATGGTAACAACAAAAGATTTAATAGAAATATTCTCAGAAGTCAGAATGACAATAAACTAGGCAAGTACATAGACTGGACTTCAGAAAAATACTCACCAACCCCATGCGAAATACAGAAGCCAGAGACCGAAACAACCCGATATTAATAATCTTGTATTTGTGTTTGTATGGTGTATTTTGTGACGGAATATGTAAGCGACAATAAATGACATCAAAATACAAACGACAAATGATATCTGAAAATAAATGTAAAAAAATTTCAATGTAATTACATAGGCTATTCAATGCATTGTCAAAGAATATTACAGGTGAACCAATTGAAAATACAAGAGAATTGAAGTTGCTATAAGATTTTCTATATAAGATTTTCACTCCTTCAAACCAGGGACCCTTAGAGGTGATAGGGGCTGCTATTCTTCCTAAATCCTGTTCTCAGAATGTGACAATAATATTAATAAAATGAATATAAGCAAGTAAGATTTGCAAGTTGCTAGATTTAATAATGTTGTCTCACAGTGTATAAACAGAGCATAATAAAAATGTTTGAATTCCGAGTAAAAAAACAATCCAATCTGGCAAAAAAAAATTGGTCAGTTATGTTGAAAATTATCTTGGAAGAATTCAACATTTAAGCCATCGTGATACAGCTGATTGTGCCCACTTATTTAATAGAGATCTTTTGGTTATCCAGGCAATAAGTATGGTGATAAAATGCAAAGAACTCAATATGGACTATCGAAGATAATGACAGACACATCACAAGAAATATAGTAAAATAAATATTTCATTTCAACGGCAGGAACAATTAACAATTATTTCCGATGTTTAGGTAACTTTTAGCTTGTCAATCACTGTATGTATTTTAGATGTGGCAAGATTATTTGCAGTTTTCAGGTAATATGGACCCTTACTGGTGGAGTAAAGTCGCTTACCTACTATACAATCACAGCAAATTTGCGATCATTAAAACCATTAACATGAACAAAAGGCCCATTGAAAAAGTTAAGACTGGGTGTATAAACTTGATCACTTAATGCTATATCTGCCACAACTTTGTCACAAAATCTTAACAAGAACAACTGTGAACTTGGAAGTTCTTTTAGGAAGTTGTTAAAAATAAAGAAATGATATGGATGAGAAGTTGAAACTTGGCAAACGATCAGAGTAATATATCTTTTATTAATCTTTTAAGTTTCCTATATCTTTATTTAAAGGGAAAAAGAAGGGTTTTTTGATTTTGATTGATATCATTGGTCAGATATTTTTTATCTATAATTTTGCGACCACTATAATTTACAAAAATTATGAAATTGCGAGAGTAGTAACAACATTAAGATAGTACAGTAGTACTACAGTATGATGGTTCATGCTGCATTGAATCTAATTATATTATTGACTATTTCCTAACCCTGGGACATACAGACATATAAATTTATTATTAAGTCTGTAAGTGAATCGTGCACAGGTGTAAGGTAAACTTCGGTCTAACTACGGTCAGGCGGTAGCTGACTACCAAGTAAAAATAATGGAATTAACATAGCTACCTAGTTCTGTAGTTTAAGTCTTTTGGCAGTTCGTGTCAATAAACAAAGTTGATGCCAAATTGGGTATATGATCTTATGAATTTGATGAATTCAGGAATTGCAAATTGTACAAAAGTTTGGGTCTCGTGCAGTTTCCTACCCAACGTACTTCTAGTAGGCGTAGCATAACAATTATTTGATATGCCAATCCTAACCCTCACCTGACTACGCCATCCAAAAATTACGTCACTACGACGTCACAATCACGTCATAGAGCTTGCCAAATTCTCGTACGATCGCCCGAAATGGCATCGGCGCCGACGATAAAGAACTGACTAACGTCAGTGATCTCTCTCCTATCGGGATCGTTGCGACGAGACAACGAGAGAGATGGCTGTTCGATTTCGGGTTCTCGTCTGTGCGTCTTGGATGACAGTTCGCATAGTTTGAAGGGCTCTATTACCGGTACGTCACTGTGACGTCGTAGTGACGTAATTTTTGGATGGTGTGGTCAGGTGGGGTTAGGATTGACACGTGGAAAAATTGTTATGCTACGCCCACTAGAAGTACGGTATGTTAGGTACGAAACTACATGAGACCCGATTAACGGACACAAAAACATTCAGACATTAAAAGTAAATTGGAACAGTTAAAAGAAACACTTTAAACAACAGACCTGTTCCGTCCTAAGACCAGTAATTTCGCTGACGTGAGAAACTCCGAAAGAAATTGCGCTATGACCCATGATTCTTGGTTGCTACTTTACGATCTTCCTTCGAATCCTTGTAAATTCCAAATGTGATTGCGATATCCTTAAATTTATTCAATTTTCAATTCGATATAGAGTGTTATTCCTTCGCCTTTACCTCCATCCAAAACAGCCTGAACAACTGATACCCGCGATGCAATATTGAATTGACAGAGCAGCATCCAAAGGTCTGCAACCAAAAGCGCCTTTAACCGCTGAACCGCGTTTCCGCTGCATTTACAAAACAACCAACACCTCGAAGGGGCGTGCTTTGGCGGTTTATGGAGTCAATATTATTATATCCGGTTCAAATGGATATATATAAATATAAAATGTGCTCCTCTCTCGTTTTCGCGGGATCATTTGAAGCCTCTCTCGTTTTGACAATATGCTTCCAACTTTTCCGATGCGCGCAAATCATTTCTTATGGGACTTGACAAATATTAATTATTTGCGTCGATTATTTTGCATATTCGCATGTTCTTGATTCGTTTCTCATTATATACCAAACGCTAATATACCTCTGCCCACCATACGGTCTAATTTTGGCAGTTATATGAATATGCGTAAGTCGTGGTTAATAATATGGCCAACGTATCAGTTAAAAGCAAAAGCGAAAAAAAGAACACCAGCCAAGATGGTTTATCGCAGTGTTTTTCAACCGGGGTGCCGCGGCACACCGGTGTGCCGTAAAATATTGTCAGGGGTGCCGTGGGAACTCAAAATGGCATTCGGAATTCGCGGATTTCACGCAATGACTGTGCACGGTTTTTATTCACAATTTGATACGTAAATAAAACAGCCACAATAGAAAAGTAAATTCAAGGAGGTCAACTATCGTCTTCATAAATATCCGCGTTCCGGCGTCAGAAATGATAATATTTTTAGCTTAAAATTGGGACAGTTGATTTACAAACGGTGAAAAGAAAGATCAAACCCGACCCAAAAGATAAAAATAGGATTTAAATCTTAAAACTTAACAAAACCTTCATAAATTTAGTAAATTGCACTACTGTACTTCATGAAAGCGTGGTGGAGTTGACGACTATTTCATATCTCGAACACAAAAACGGTTATCTTTTTCAGATAGTTTCAGCGGGGTGAAACGTCGAATAAGCGTTTCGACTTAGTAAATGCTATGATCTTTGCCATCAAATTATGCTCGGGCCTTGCACGAAATTCGTAACCTGAAAAGATACTTCCAGGGGTGAAAATTGTTTATAACAACTTTAAACCTATTTAGTGTTTCGCGATAATAATTAATTGTTGTAATTAAATACAGTTTATATATATACTATATAAATATATACTATATTGCCCACCCTTGCCATCTGTAATCACGCCAGTAATCTGGCGAAACGCGTAGTAGTCCAAACACTGATGCAATGAAACATAAAACCTTCATAAATTTGGTAAATTGCACTACTTCATGAAAGCGTGGTGGAATTGACGATTATTTCATATCTCGAACACAAAAACGGTTATCTTTTTCGGATAGTTCCTGTGGTCTGAAAAGTCGAATAAGCGTTTCGACATAATAAATACTATCTATGATCTTTACCATCAGATATGCTCGGGCCATGCACGAAATACGAAAAAAGATCAAGCGGTGAAAATTGTTTATAACAACTTTAAGCATATTTAGTGTTTTTAGCGATAATACTTAATTGTTGTAATGAAATACAGTTTGTTTGCCTCTTGCATTTATCTCGCAAGTGCCGAAAAATTACACTATAGGATGAATTTGGCAATGAAAGAAACATATTGAATTGTAACAAAAATGAATTAGGTTGTGAAAAAGTGAGAATACACGTGATAATAATAAGGGCGTAACGTGGAACGGGGGAAGGCGATCAAAACCGAAGCGCGTAATCGGCGGTGCGTTTGAAGACCACGTAATACCCGTGCGGCCGCGCAACTTTTACAATAATGTGAGGTGCTCCGAAGACGCTCTAGTAGTCTAGTTACTAGCTTACATTAATGTGAGAAAACAGTTGTAATGTCGGTAACTGTTAACCATTTGTTCGCGTTCGACTGTCGCGCTCCTTATGAGTAGAAAATGTTCGAGTTTTGTGATAGGTGTGCCGCGACTATTCAAAGAGCTAAATAGTGTGCCGCGATATGAAAAAGGTTGGGAACCACTGGTTTATCGGAATCGATTCCCAAGTATTTTGCGTGGCCTTGCGCCGTAGTGGCCTACCCGAGATATACATATAAATAGTCCTAGAGGGCGCTCCAGAAGTGTGTGTACCAATATGGAGGTAATTAATACCGTTCGCCTACTTTACATCAAGTTGTGTAAAGGGACTGAAGGGTATATTCACTTGGGTAACGCACACAGTACCCGAACTCGTAATAGAACTAAAATAAGAAAAGTTGGAATAAAGTTATGCCTAACCCCAACCTGGTACACTGACTACGGCAGTATCAACTAAACTTCTCTTAGTCCTATACTGAAGACTTAGGTGAAATCTTCCCCGTGGAGGTTATTGCTTTTTTATGATACCAGGCAAAAACAATTGTTTCCACTCATATCTATTGTGCAATCGCCTGAACAACCAAATTTTTTCAGGAACGAGATCCACATCAGGCTCTTAAAATACAACTCGAATACAATTGTATTTAAATACCCACAAAGGCCACAAAGTGTCGCATACACATCCATATGCGGCTCACTGGGTAGTAAAATAGACGAAAACTGACCAAAACCATATTCAACACGAAGAAACTTTGGAAGCATAAATGCCAAGATGGCGGCGATCAAATGATCCCGCGGCGAGAAAACGCAAAACGAGAGAGAAGATCGTTCCATATATTTTCAGTTCAGTGCATGTTAGCCGTTGGTTGATCTGTGAGTTGCGAATTTTAACGTTTTATCTATATAACTCCTGTTGTGATGTACAGGAGAGTGTCTTTGCATGTTCGAGACAGCAGAGAAAAAAGTTCGATTTTAAAGATTAAAATATTTTCGTATTTTCTAAACGCAAGCAAAGCATAAATATATATGTAGAGTGGAAATCAATGATTAGGATGTTAATGTATGAGATAATTTAGACATAAACATAATATCACGCGTCGAATTCGGAGAGTAATCAAAAAAATCGCATGTGGTGTCGTTCCGTCATAAAATTAACCAGAAAAATCTTTTGACATATTATTACATTACTGATGTCACTGAATGGACCTTAGTCATTCGAAAGCCATGCCACGCGCAAAAAAGTGACATAAACAAAACAATTTCTGCCAACTAGGGCTGCTTTGGATGTTTTATAACTGGATCTAAATATATTTTTTTTAAAGATCTAAATGTAAAATTTGGAATTTAGATGTTAGCTATAAAATCTAAATATTTTTATTCTAACGTTCCGAATATTATCCAGTGGGAAATATATAAAGCGATGTGTATACTAATGTAATATGTGAATGAATATTATTTCATTACATAGAAGTAAGTTAAATATATTGATGTAAAATTGATAGGACTCATTTATATTGTATTCGTCTAACCTCTACCGGCACCATATATAATTAAGTCATTCGAATAAAGAATTAAACATGTTTATAACATGTGACTTTTAATTAAACGGAGAGGATGATGTTGGTCTGACGAGTCTGTGCTTAGTATTGTATTGTTGTCAATTGGTGAGAATAATTTGTGTAGTTCAAGTCGCTTACTCCAGGATTTTAAAATTATAAAGTTATTTAAATGCTATTGAATTTGTCTTTCCTTACTTTTTAGTGCTATGAACTATGCAGAAAATAAACTGAGAAACAGCATGAAGACAGATTTACTGAATGCAATACTGGTTATTAAAGTTGGACTGATTCGAAAAAAAACAATGTTGCACTTCTTATAAGTTGCTGATTCGATTGTCACGAAAATAGGTACAGCAAAAACTTATAAAAATCCCTCTGAAGCATCAACATCAACAGATGTTAGCTTCTTCGACATCTAATATTATGTAATGTAATAAACTTTGTACGCTCTTATTTCGTTGATTTTCATTAGATTTAACGACCCCATATTCAGATGTATTTTCTAGATGTTTTTAGAAACTAAATCCTAACTGAAATGTTAGCCAATAGGTAGGATAAGTTGTACACAAACGAAAATATGAATAACCTCAAACTATTACTGTGCTCTATTACATTAGGTCAACAACGGTACAGTACCGGTATCTAACGAGGTTGAAAAACATGTCAGCATGCCTTCAGAGAAAGGTCGATCGATGTACCTGTAGGATATGCGCAGAGCCAGTAATGACAGTAAGGAAAAGTGGATCTGACTAAATACGTAAACGTGAATAGACTACAATTAAAGTTTACCTTCACTAACTAAAATAGGTATTTCATTAAATGCCAAACGACGGTATGGTGTGGTCCTGGTGTTATTACAGAATGCAAATTTCGGCTCTGGCGATCACATATAAACTAAATATTAATTTTATGGCTTAATAACATAATTCATGCCGGGTGTTTTTTGCAACCAGCCTATACAGTATTACAAAAAATGCTGCTTATATGACAGAAAATTTAGTAATTACCCTCCTGTACCTCACATTTGGGTATCAACCAATCAAAGCAGACGAACTCAAACAGATTTTTAACTCGATGTGGGAGGCAAAATATCACAATGCTTGATTGATATGTCGGCAAGTTGTGTCGGTGACAAAAGAATATAATTAAAAAATTCTAGAATCTTGTGAGCAATGAACATTTTCCAAAGTTGAGATTTTGCTTTGAAAAACCATGTTCGAAAGCACTTACATTTGCGGAAGACTTTTTCCGTTATGAAGAATTTAGAATCATACACTAAATGTAGATATAGAAAGACTTTCACAGGTTTTAGTAAGTTTTGAGTGGTTCCTGCATGTTTTAGCTTGATAAATGACAAATACTGATCAATGTGTTTGCACAATGAAAGTGTTTGTTTTGTATCGCCCTGTTTACATATTCTAGACACTATTGTAGCCCGCGAACAATGCAAAAATAGTTTTGTGGCCCCGGGGCCAACAACTTTGATCACGAATTAGGACTGGTAATGCGATCCTCCGCAAGTTGAACGTTCTTGTGAGTAGAAGATCGCGTATTAGTCATAGCTAAATAGTCGTTCACACTTCATATAAAGTCACATTGGTGCACTCCTTCAGATGAGATTTCACATTTATTCCGATGGAAGGGAAGAGGCGTCAAGTCGCGTATTGCCGGACCAGGACCAGACCCTGTCATGCGGTTACCAATCATGTTAGATATGGAAATAGAACTAGTGTCATGGTTACGTGTGATAATCCTGTGGTTTATTTGTAAACGGTTTATTTGATCAGGAGATTCGGAATTCCGGATTGACTATTTGTTGAAAACGCTAAAACAACTGATGCAATCGAAAAATAATCCAAGGCTGAGCTCAGTGGGCGCAGAGAAGAGAGGAAAAATTAATTACTCGCAACTCGTGAGTGACCGGAGTCTCATAATCCGAATTCGAATATCAGCAAAAATTTAACTCAGACATAAACGCGCACATTATTTTATCCTCTACGAGTCTACGGTATTCAAGGTTGAAGGAATCATGGTTGAAATGACAAGCAGGCTCATAACATTCGCGAATCGCCTGGACGACCAGGTTAGGCATATATTTACGGGTTAGGTGAGTGGATTCTGCTTGCTTGGTGTTAATTTATATGTGTTGTAGTTGAATTGTACGTTAACGAATAAGCAATGACAAACAAAAGGCAAGCCATCGCTCTTTTAATTTTATCAGGTTAGATTGGGAAACATGTCGCAATGACAATACCCGACGACCATAGTTTCTAAAATACTTCAATCGCTTCTCTGGTTGGTTAGGTCAGGACTAGCGATGGCTATTGCTCAATTCTGGCTTAATTGGATAATACAAATAAAAATCGGCGACAACTTTTTCGGAAGTTTGTTGGCTATTGTTAGATGGTGGGTAAATTTATTGAATCTTACTCGGCGCAACATCATCGAGAATAGTGGCCACGATGACTACAATGAAAACTCATATTAGCATTTTGAAGTTATCAAGAATGTTCCAAACTTGGCTCACACCTATCAGTTAAGTTAAACTCTCAACTTATTACCTAGAAAAATGTTAGAGGCCAAATTCTGACCATAAATCCGATCTAAAATGTTTCATTTTTTCAACGTTTTAACTGGTTTCCTTGCACTTCCTTCTTCTACGCAATTCAGCGTAGGATACATACATCTTCTATCAGATAATTTTACTTACACACAAGAATAATATGCATGTTACAGTCTGCATTAAGAAACTGTAAAAAACAATTTCGACTGCAAAAGTCAGATAGGCTGCTAACTAACATGAAATAAATAATAATAATATATACTTTTTTTTATACAGGAAACGCGTGAATGTCTTTTATTTTTTTCGTCTACTACGGAATAGACTGGATGAGACACTTTCAATCTTTTTTTCTCGTTATAGCTTAGTTCTGTATTTTTCATTTGCTCGAATTAGAATTTTCGTAAATATTAGCTTGAGCTTTATCAGCGCTTGAGCTTGACGGCAAGTTGACATATCGCGGTTCGACAATTGATGAATTAGGTGACTTCGGCACAGACGTCTGCGACATATCTACATATGTTGATTGTCGAGTGAGTTCGTTTCTTATAACAATTCCCATATTTATATAAGGTAACGACGTATCATTGTGATACTCTGGAATGATGTAACCTGAATCGAGTGTGTGTGATGTGTGAGATGGATTTTCCGGTATATTCTCATATGGTGTTGAGTACAATTTCACGCTGGCATATACATTTCGTTGTTTATATCCTGTCGCCGCCATTTCTACATATAATGATTGTGATTGAGTACTTGCATCGGTGTTATTTCTTTTTCGATTCCTTTTAGAATGAATTGACTCGTAGACACGATCAGGATTCTCCGGAGCAAAGCACACAGAAGCAATTGAAGTAGTTCTCGAAATGTGTGGATTTCTATTTTTCCATTTAGGTGGTTGTCGCCTGAAAATTACCATTGAAGCACTTGTTAAAAATATCGAACAGATGTATTCTATAAAAATGTGTGCGACTTTATTTGGTATACGCTTGGTATGGTAAAGGAAATTGCATGGAACCGTATTAGGCATCAGATGGAATGTATGAAATATATATAGAAAATTGAACCAGGTCGTGTTTACCATTAGTCAAGGTAGGTTGAAGCCTAGGGGGCTCAAGCCTTGGACCTTTTAAATAGCATTTCGCCGTAACTTCATTACTGTTGAAAAACATCGGTCGTTGAACGTTCGACTAACATTTTTTCGCCGTAACTTCAATACTGTTGAAAAGCATCCGTCGTTGAATGTTTGCAAAGAGCATTTTGCAGTAATTTCAATACTGTTTAAAAGCGTTAGTCGATAAACTTCAAATGGCATTTAACAATAACTTCAATGCTGTTAAAAACGTCAGTGGTTGAACGGTTGAATGGCATTTCACCGTAACTTCAATACTGTTAAAAAGCGTCAGCCTTTTAATGTTTAAATAGCATTTCACCATAATTTCAATCCTATTGATATTCGATTGCACTGAAGGTATTGGCTTGGGGTAAAATATCATCTAAATGAATTATTTGGCCATCAATCAGTAATGAATATATACTGAAACTTACCCTTTCGATTTCAGTTAACACGGAAAACCAGTTACATTCCTCTTACTATGATTCTTTGTATGTAAGGCACCAAAGTCGTAAGTGCTTTGGGCCTATAAATGCTTGATCGCGATTAAACTAGCTGCGATCATATCAGATTCGAGCAAAAAATACATTTACAAATTTACCTTTGTTTAATTATACAGACGGCAATAAGTCCACCGATGATGATGAGAAATGATCCAACAGCGCATAATATAATTATAGTCATTGTTGAAATACCTAAATTATATCAAGACAAATTAGTAAACATGAATTCGCGGAATGTAAACAAAAAAACTCCTTTGAATTTCAATTATTTGCTAATGATATTTAAGGCCTTTTTAATAGATCATTGTAGTATGAAGTTCATATCATTTACATTTAGTTGTTCGTGACTAATACTGCAATAAAATGTCGACAAGGGGACATGTATCCGCTATCTTCTTACCTTGTTCTGGCATTCGAACTATCGCATTGCTAGTGTCGTATTCTGAGAAAGCACGTTGAGTCACTACATTGTGTGGATTTATTCGAGGTTTGATTTCCGGAATATTCATCATGCTCTTTTCCTCATGTTTCGTTGTAGAACTCTTTGCTGTTTAATGAAAATAAAGTGGGGCTTATTATGGTTGGTACCGACAAATGCCCCCAAAATGTAGACTCTGGTATATGTAAATCCAGGCTAGTTCGATCATCAACATATAATTAGGCCAAGAGTCACAATCAGCGTCTTGATATCTGGTTGAAAGGGGAAACTTACTTGAACTGTCCTTGACTTGTTTTGCAGTTGTTTCTTGATGTCTTGTGCTTTTTATTCCCATTGTGGCTGGACGGAGACTGGTGAAGGATGAACTAATAGTTGTGTTTGTACCTGATATAATAATAACAATAATGTAATATTCATTCATGTTGTACAAACTTAAGGTCTGTGTGTGACTGATTCATAGTCACAAAGGCGGTGCAGACGTAGCAAAGCGAGCAAATTACTTTTATTTGAATATTCCGACTATTCCAATGGTCGCCAATGAGTGCGTACCGATACTCGTACTTCGTTTCATTCGGATACTTCTGCAAATGGTCACTGAATCTAACATTTTTACTTATCCTGCTATGAGATAATTCTGCAAATTGTAACTGTCTGATCTTATATTTAATACTCGTTTTCTAATGATGCTCATAATGATTTTATACTCAATATTACTTATATTATATACATTTACATTGTTTTTCGCGATTCATATACAACACAAGAAAAGTCAATATACCTTCCGTCTTCTGACAATCATCAACATGTTCGGTATGCAACACTAGTTTGTCCCCAACGTTTGCCGTACGAAAAGAGATATATTTGTCTTTTTTCTTCAAGATATCACATGAGGATGTATTCGTAAAGACACAGCGGGTACCGGGAGGAGTGACGATGAAGCATCGTTTATTCATTGTTATCATCGGATTCCCTGAGGAGCAATTGGAATAAAAGCGATTTTTACAAAAGGGATTTAAAATCTTGTACGAACTAACACAATGTTATTTCTTCGACCCTTTGTCTGACCAAGATTCCCAGACAAGCGTTTATAAACTATCATCATTTGAAACAAGAGAAACAGTTTTGGTGAAATGATGGGCTCTATATTCACTCAATAAATAAAATTATGATAACTTCCTGGCGGCTGCAAACATTGAAAGCCACTAAATATTTCGATCTAATAGATCCATATAGGTTCATTTCCGTTTCAATTACTTTTTAGACAATAACTCCAGAATTAAATTATTCTTCTTGTACGTAGGTTGGGTCCATTTTGTCGAGTTCAACTCTCAAACATGAAATCTTTACTAAACAATATAGTTGCTTTTGAAGTGTTTGAATTTTATAAATAATAAAGAATAGTTACGTTCTCTTTTGCCATCCACACCCATGCATTTGGAACAATCAATCGTTTGACTATTTTCATACTCGATTCGGGAGGCCAAACAGACAAAAGTGTTGTCAAAATATTTGTTTTCCTCCCATGTGATAAAAAAAATTATCATATCTCAATAAAATCAATAATTATTCTTGAGCGTCGACTCAAGCTTTGGCTCCAAGTTTGCACAAATCTCTTGCCACGTGAAATAATTCGTCATGCATAATTGATTGTATTTGCTGATTGAAATTCAAACTAGGAAACTAATAGGAGAGGAAGAGGAATCAAGCGCACTAAATGCCTAATCAAGTATCAGTCTATATCCATAGAAAGCTTAAATCGTGTGGTCAAGTGTAACAAGATAACACATGTCATTTCCTATACTTGAGCGTGGGAAATGTGATCAGTAAAACTAGTTCCGTAATCTGATTAAACAGCCGCTAACAATACTTTACTTTATATACATCTTCAAACAATATATATTCTAACAACGTCGTACGCCTTCGCTCCAAACAAATCCATGCGCAAGTGGCAACTCCTATATGTAATGCTTCTATTTAATTCATGAGTCTTGCTGTACACTAACATAATGTAATTCCGTGTACATGTGTGTTACATTTGTTTCAGTGTGCAGCAAGACCCTTCAATAGAATAGAAAAGACATCTTTATCCGCATCTCTTCAAAATATAACACAAACGGCATATTTCTTTACAGAAATTGCCTGTTACGAACATAGAGATACCTAATTTTTGTATTCGATGCCAGAGAACATATTTGCAAATACTGTTCGATCTTTTTTTCCTCACCGAAAAGAACCAACGATTTTCCTCCAACTCGTTCTGTTATAGTTATATTTAGAACTTTGTCATTCGAAGCAATTATCTTAGTGGACCAAATGCAGTTTTTCGATCTGTCAGTTGTGTACAACTCTATGCGTGTAGAAGATATTTTTTGCAGACACTTCGCATGTCCAGAAGTCAGTCCTGTAAAAAAACATTATTTCATGGCAGTAGGGTTTTTATCCTTGATCTGATTACTAACGCTGATAGAAAATAGCTCCCACACATTTTTCATCAAAGCAATCTACAAAAGAAAAGCGCCATGCTTGTGGAAAACAATGATGCTATGACCTATATATAAATGTCGAGGAAATATAACTAACTTTTGGAAGTATTTCTTTACTTGGAACAGACATCTCCTCAATACCAAGACAAAGTCCATTCAATTCTGATTTTTGTGGAATAATTGATCCAAATAATCCCTGGACAAGAAATTTGTACTTACTCGTACAGACTCAAACCAAATGTCCCGACCTGACATGACTCTTAGAATCGAAGTGGAAATTAAGGTTCTATTTGAAACTGAAAGTGAATGATCTTATCCCAAGTTACCGATCTACAAACACACACTGTGGTTGATAACAATAACAAGTATTACATACCTTGTGCTATTAAAAATATCTTCATCCAGAAAACAATCCCCATCATAATTTCATTCAATTGTAATTTGATGAGCTAACTGAAAACAAAACATCATATATTTGAATATACGATAATATCGCTTAACGTTGTGATTATAGTCTCCATTATTTCGTTATTATTGAAGTGCTTTTGTTTTGAGGCCAAAAATATTTATTCGGATAAATATTTCATGCGAGGGGATTTTCGTCAGCGATTAGTTTTATTCGAAATCATGCGTTGACTTTAGATACACGCTTTATTCACCTTTGATTCTGGATTTGACCTAACAAACACAGGAAATGATTACAAAGACACCGTCATGTGAATCGAAATAGTTGAAAGAACGTACGAGTAATCGCAGTCGGTTTGCTTTCTTTGTATATCAAAAAATCTCAAGTTCTGGCTGATTGGAATGATAAGATAATATTATTTTGTTATCTTAAACAATACAAATGGAACCTGTTCGTCAACGTTATATAAATGAAATGTGTGTTATATAAATGAAATGACATGCGTCTCCAGCGTCTCCTGCCTGCATACGAGTGGCATAGCAAACGCATAGTATACGCATTTCTATCAATATAATCGGAAAATTCTTGTTGTCGACCAATTTGAGATTTATTCAGATCAAACATTTTTAATAATATTTTTTTATTGTCTCAATTGGAGGATATGGATATTTAGACATACTGGCGTAATTCATCAAATTCCAATTTTATAATCTTTCAATATTACAACGATGATAATATAAAAATCCAGTCAAATATATTTCTAGCTTTGTACGTAGTTGAAACAGTGGTCGGTAACCATCGAAAAGCAGTGCATTGCCATACCGTTAGCGCCAATTCATCTCGGAGACCATATAAACCTAATTTGAACACGGTATGATTAAATAATACAAATTTACGTAAAGTAATGGTCAACAAGAAAAATTTATCGTCAATAAATATCGAACATTAGTATTCGACTGCGTTTTACAGTTGAGTTGGGCCCGCAAGTTGAGTAACATAAGAGTTTTTGAATGACGATGCCCAAATAAATTTAGTTTCAAACTGGCCCGCTGATTGTCATCCCCTGGTTTAAAATAATCGATCCGTATATTACTTTCTGAAACCACATTCTTACTCGTGTACCTATCAACGACGTGTGTTTTATCCAATGAAAACTCAGCCTGAGATAGCAATGCAGTTTCTAGCATTTCTATATCGGAAATAACAACAAGAGTTTCAACTCATCTAACTGCAAAAGCGGTTGAAAAGTGTCCAACCACTCACACCTACGAAAAATTCCGACTTGCAGTATTGTATTCCACATGACGAATGTTTCTGACGTATTTCCTCGGTACTTTTTACACAACTATTCTCCATTTTTATAATGCGATTCTACTTTCTCGAAGTTTGAATCATCCAGATTGAACTTTGTACTCGATATCAAACAGTTTAACAAAACCTGAGTCAATAAGATAACCAGTTGATCATTGAACGACATTGTTTGATGCTTTTTCCTATTTGGAATATCCTTATTAGGTAATAATCGGGCGCCAGTTTAGCTGTAAAACCCTCCTACATTATACCCGAAAAACAGTACAATATTCATAAGTACATGTATTCATTTTAAAATTCCTTTGATTATGTGCGTAATAAATTATTACAGAATCTGTACTAAAACTGCTATGAAGTATCTACACAATGCAAGTATGATTCGCCGTTCACATATCCATCGCTGATAATATTATTGGCCGTCAATTGTTAAGCTACTGTGAGAAGTATATATGTATCTGGAGACTCGTAAGATCTGGCCAGACGTTGAGACACGATATCAAAAATCAAATTAAGTCGAGATGTAGTTTAATTCAATGATTGAAAAATCTATATTTATTGTCTATTTATTTATTTATCTAATTTATTGTCTTTGGTTGTCTATTATTATTTTAATGCATTACTAATAAAGACTAGAAGAACATAGCTTTAATGAAAAGGCGTCAGATCAAATAAGTTGTTGGATTTCAATTAGCCGGTTTCGAGGTAAAATCAACAATACCTGTTTATTTTTGATAACATAACTTGATATCGGTTGGCGAAAGTCTCATTGTTCAAAAGTCTGGAAATTTGAATTAATTCAATCTTACATTTCATAATATATGCAAAAAGATTTGCCATCTATAGGATTCAATTTTTCGTTCCAAGCTTAAATTTGTGGATTATTATTGAAACACATAATACGTCGATAATGTGATTCACTTTGAACTGTTGAGATACGTCGATACGCTGATATAGTGTCATCTGTCTTTCAATTTTCACACACGTCGTTCGTCGATTCTAACATTCACAAATAATCTTACTTCATAAGTCTATAATATCCATTCAAACCGCACGAAATGAATGTGTAATGAGCGCAAATATAATCGAATTGGGCCTTTGTCTTCGTTTTTCTTCGGACGGCATTAGTGCGTTATTTGAATGTGTTACAATGTTTGAGTTTAAGATTTTTAATTAAATTGGTAAAAATGTTGTTCTTGTTATTTTTATGATGACAATAGAGAAACATAAGCTTTAGAATTAGACAGAAGGGATTTTATTTGGATGCGGCAAGGTAAATTTGCGATATAGAGGCAAATTGTTCCGGACGCAATGGCGTGCAATTGACAATAATGTTAGTTTTATATTTACAATTCAATTAACAGTATATTCCTACGAACGTAATCGTAGCACGTTTGACAAGTTACAATATGGCACAATACACATGTTTCAAAAAATATCTAGCGACGCAATATAATTGGATACATCTTGTACGTAAGATGCTATCGTCATTTCGAAAACGAGTTTGAATCATAAGGGTCAACGTCCACAAAATGCCAAGTCAATAATCGCCGCGCCCCATCCAATAATAATTCGGAATCTAGAAATTTATTCTTATTTGGTTAAATATTATCGTATTGAACAGGACGTACTAGATTTAGAGAGTTTGAGATTCCGTTAGTTACTGCCTTATTTCCTTTGGGTGCAGCGAAGTATATCATGATTCCGAGGATGGCTGTTTTCGCCATAACTAACCCTGCTGAAGAAACTGGAATTTATAATTTAGAAAGAACAGAAACAGTAGTTTACGATCAAAAAGGTAACAACATATTTCCAACACACACCATTTATAGCACCATACTATATTTTTGATGACGTTGAGCAGTGTAGTAATAATATTTTCAGATCTATGTTGGGACTCAGATGTAAAGTCGTGTATAAGGAGGACATGATTAAAAAATTCTACATTTTCAGTTGAATTGGACGGGCTATTGTTGTCAACCATCATTGACCTCGGAAAATTTTTGGTCGTTTTAGTGCAAACGTTTTTGAAAAGTTAGCGCGTAGAACAATTGTCCAGTGTGCGGGACATATCTAGTGGCGTACGATAAATATGATATGATTTGCTGCGTATACATATTTAAAAAAGGACGATACCATTACTTAACATTATGACGAAGCCTACATTTTTGGCCAGTGTGGTTGGCGATGTGGTGAATAAAAGTTCATTAGAACACCTTTAACAAATTACTAACATCAACAGATGCGACCACAATGTCGGAAGAAGATTTTCTAACTGTTCCGGAATGGGCTTCTGTAATTGGACTTCTGATGGTGATGTTGGTGTTTGTTGTGGTTATAACTATCGTTGGATGTCTGGTTATCAAAAGAAAGTACGTTCATTTTTTATGTTGCAATTTGCCTTATTTGAACAAATATTTGAACCTACGGTTCAGGATTGTATTTAAGTTTACAAATGTAAATATTTCAATATGCTAGTGTGTGAGAAGCTGAAAAGAAACTCATTTCCATTTGAAATATCCCAGATAAATCTGTTGAGAAAAAAATATTATATACCTCAACTCAAAAAGTGCGAATTGAAAAAAAATATGTCCTTTCACATATTTAAGAGACTATACAGTTAAGTTATAGCAATAACAATTATTATTCATGTGTCCATATCCTACAGAAGTGCAAAACATATTAGAAGTCGGGAGTGATAATCAATTGACTACATGTCACTAAGCCAAGTGTCATTGCTTTCGGATTTTACCTACACTTTTTATGGTGATACGTCAATTTTCGAACCCTTTGGTAGAGTTCGGGTCATAAAACAAAGTTTTCTACAACTCAAAAAACTTGTTTTTCCACAATTTACATTTAAAACCCCTCTTATGCACTGTGCTGTTTTTTTGCTCATTTTTTAACCTATCGCTCGATCGTCAGGCTAATCCGCCATTTTTCCAACAGACTCGGCCGTTAGCTCAGTCTTACCGATCCCGATGCTCTGGTTTAATTTGAATGATCAGATAATATATTATAAAATGAAAAAATAATTCACAGTTCAATATTATAGATAGCCACTTATCGTTATAGATATACGTAGCAATGTGTTTCAATCTAGGCATCTCCAATTTGATTTATTTTATCAATATAACTAAATAGACACGCACACAGACCCAATTCTAACGCTATACAAAAATTGAAAGCATGGGTACTCCCATCCACCATTGAAAAAGAGTCCAAGTGTTTGAAAACCAGTTTCTCAAGTTTTTTTCTTTTACCAATCTATTTCTAAATGTATTGTAACCAGATTAAATGGATAGCACCTTCTTTCTTTACAATTTTTTGTTTTTTTTATATTTCATCAAGGCTTTTTCTAGTGTAATATTTTCCATTCATTGTTCATTGCAATCAATTTTATATTGCAGAAGAAAATCAGAATCTCAAACTATTACAACAAAAGAAAACGCGATGAATTTTTATGAGAATAACCCAAACAGCAATTATAGAAAATGAAGCGCTACGTGAACTCTACTTTAAGAGCTGTGTCCTATACCAGCGACGGCGAACTACTGGACCAATTTATCAAAATCCTCAGTTGTTGAAGATTGTTATTGTCACTAGAAGGCTATTACACTTACTTTATTTGTTCTTAAATTTTTTACGAATTCTATGAGATGCGATATTTTATCCAAAATTTGGCTTTTTGATTTTTATTAATGGGAACACCGTTTTTACTCCACTGAGCGTGACGTTCTGATTTTGCGAACTCGGTGCTACTGCTCAACATATTTCCGTATATATATATATATATATATATATATATGCGAGTCGCATAGGCAACCGGCACTGCGTTTTATTTTATGAGATAATAAAAGTGAGAAAAACAAAAATGTTGTTCTGCATGATTTTATTTGGAAACAAACAATTTATTGCTGCACCAGCCCAGCAGCCTCGGTGAATTTTCTTTCACATTACCTTCGACTGCTTTGTGGTATTCTAATTGTTTTTTCTACACTTTTCCCAATTTCACACTTCACAACTTCGTTTCTTCGAGTTAGGTAGTGTTACGTACGTGTTCTTTATTGATGATGACTGTTAACTTTGTTTCTCTCGCGTTCCGCTACTTCGCTGCGTTTTTTTTTTTTATTGTGTCCCGTCTGCTCGCGGTTGGGGTCGATCCCTTTTTTCATCTATTTATTATTTTTTTTGCCTAGACTGCTTGCTAGTTGAGGCTCGTTACTGACTTGTATTTTCACAATCACCTCGTGGGTTAGTCGCTGATTTCTATGCATTTTTCCTCATCTGCTGTATTTTCACTATCACCCGGGGGACTGTTTGTTTATTTTTTCCTCACTTTCACTTGAGCTGCCTACGGGCTAGTAGCTGATTTCTATTTTTAAGAATCGCTTAACTTTGGACTCCCTATCATTTTCACCCCTTTTACTAGCAGATTATGGCATTTCTGGCCTACATTTTGCTGGCGGTTTGTTTGGATTGCGGCTGCTCCCTCCCCTCTCTGCGCCACCGCTACCGACGAGGACTGCGTGGATCAGAATCTTACTCAATTTACAATGTCACGCTCTGGGACTATTGTGTGCGCTGCTTTAACTATTGAATCTCTGAATATTTGTGCACATAATATGATATCCCGTAATAAAATTCTTTTTAGTCCGGGGGCATTAGCAAAAGAGATGTTTGAGTCGAAACAATGTGACGAATATTTAGTCAAAATCGTGGTATTCTTCGCAGCCGTCGTCATTTAAAAGTTGCGCGGGACTGGGGACCATTGGATTTATATGACGTGTTCGCTGAAAATATAAAATAAAACAGCAACTCTAAGTTGAAAAAATTCCCAATGATCTGATTGACTGAACGAGAGTGGAAACTTTATACCAATAATTTCCTCACGATACAAACCACTGCCCGGCCTGTAGGCCTATCCGTCCAACGTCGTTGACCTAGTAGACTACAGAATCTGGTAAACTTACCAAGAGTAAACATGATACTGTGATACTGGTAACTACGAAATGTAGACAGAGGCTATATTTAGGATGAAATAATTTTTATTTAAACAAAATTTAATGTTGTAGTGCTGTGCAAAATAGATACAGGTGCAAATACAAGATCACAAATAATTCAAGTGAAATAAAGTGGAGAAATAGATATATACTTAATTTTTTTTATTCATTTGGTGTAAAAAAACACAAGACGGACAAACAATTGTGAGTTCTACTAACATTCGCTTGCTAAAAGAATGTTTCGAATCTATTAGGATTGGGTTAAATTGATGTGAAATGCTTAGAGTTTGGTCGTTGCACCTTTCCAGCCTCCAGTCGTGGTGACCGTACATTTGAACCCACGTACATTTGAACCCATGTGTATATCCGCGGGTTCAATCTATAGGCGGGTGCTAAAACCCATGGGTTAGGGTTGGTATGGGTTCAAATAGTATGCAGGTGCAATTGTCATGGGTTCGAATGTACGTGGGTTCAAATGTAATGGAACCTCCAGTCGTATTTGCGCTATATAACGACACCCGTTTACATCAGTGTGAAGGTAAACAAAGTTACTATCGCTATATCCCCTAAACAATAATAACTCTGAACGAAGAAAATGCGCTGGATATTTCTATAATGGCATTGCAAATTTAAGATCTCAAAAAGGCTTAACACTTCACCCATGCCGAAACGAATTCTGTAAACAATGCCGTACTGAGAAAATTCCATTTGGCGCAAAATATTTTTTCAAGCTGCTTGTCAATCAGCTTTTTTAAGTGGTGTTAATGTACCTCACATAATTAGAACCCAGTCGGGACGAGGATAAAGTTATTACCTAAACAAGAGAGCTATGCTCAAATATATGGACACGTAGCGCCACCCAGTGGCAATAATTTTGATGACGTCATAGCGAAAAAAAAGTAATAGCCTTCTGGAGAAAAATTTTATCTTTAACCACTGAAAATATCAAAGCAATTGGTCCAGTATTCGAAGAGAATAGCGATTTTTTAAAAATGGAGACGGAGACAAATAACAATAACAACAAAATTTTGAAACGATCGTTATAGCCACTAAACGTGTCCAATAATTTAGTCTTATCTGAAAACTCATGGGAAGCACATTTCGAAGGAAGGACTCGATGTATTGTATCCACTTTCACATCCTCCACCTAGTTGTGTCATGGGTATAGTGAGATGATTACCCGGTATTTGCTGCACTACTTGTGGTTTGGGAAGAGCAGGATTGCATTCATTTGTGTTATTGTAAGTGCTCACTGTCAACATCGGGATGGAGTTAGGAATAGGAATACCATATTGACATCGTGATGGGTCAGTTTGAAACGAGCATAACGAGTCGTTGATCAATGGTGATGAAATATGGCGGCAATTACCATTGTCCTCATAATGTGTTGTTGTTGCATTAATCTCATGTGATGACGAGCCTAAAAAATTTGTATTTGACGATGACCGTAAAGTATAAGATGGCGGTGGCAAACAAGTCGGTGAAAGCAGAATTGCTTCATCATGTCTGGTCGCCCGAAGAAACTCCGGCATCGAAGTGTTTTCTTGAGACAATGCGTGCGCTCCCCCGGCCTGTGTAGATATTTGAGACGGCCTTTCTACGTGTTGGAAGCCATTTAGTCGCCTTAAATTGGCGCAAATATGATTGGAACGTCGTGAAGCCGATGAGGAGTTTGCCGATTCATACTGTGTCCAACCTTGATCTTTCGAACGTTCAATCGGATACTCTCTGTTAAAAACACCTGTGCTGTGCCGCCGTACGTTGGATTGCGGGTAATATTCACATGGTGTCCTTTCAGACTTTATTGGTATTTTCATAATTTCCATTGATGACCATTTGGGCAATGGCGTCATTCCTTTAAAACCTGACTGACGCAAATTGTGGCTGGAATGTGACCGACTATAACCATATTGTAGACGCTGATCTACCAATAAATTTTCATCAGTTTGTATCTCTCGTTTTTCTTTCGGGGCTGTATTTCTGATATATCTCTCATCGGGGTTGTTTGATGTCATTTCCTTTACAGTGGTTAACACTTCTTTCATGTTGACTGAAATCTGCATCACCTGGAAAAATTGAATTAGATACAAATACTATAATATAAAATACGCAATATTCGTGACGGTGTATGTTTTGAAATGATGCCATTCACGTTACGTGAGAATCTAAATTCGAAGATTCTATGGAATTTTTTATTAGTAAAATTGGGTTCAAAGTTTGTTCAGAGATATTGAAAAAATGGAATGAGAGCCTTTATTGCAGGGCTCTAAAATCATACTAACTTTTCAATACCATTACGAAATTTTTGCTTTACAAAATAGTAATTTGTCGAATTGCAAGAAATAAAATGATTATGACGACTAAAAAGGTATTGTACTTTTTATTTTCTTCATTTGAACCACCTGAGAAGAACAAAGTACAGAGAGGACGAAATAAAATATGCAACAATTACAGATGAACATAAAAATGTTCTTTGTTTCAAAGCGAACCCTACCACATTTTGCAAATCATCGAACTTCTCTTTCAGTTGTTCGAGTTGTGAATTGCAGTGTCGCGAACACATTTCGTCGTAGCAACTTTGTCTTTGCTGTTGTTTCCTACTATTTGGACTTCTCTCGCGAGTATGTTTCATTTCAACCACTGATGGCCTTCTGACTTTGTGCGATGATGCCGTATCCGGTACATCTGCTTTGCGTAAATAAGGTATGTCACTCATATATGATGGAATAAAAAAACACTTCAAAGTATTCTATGTAGCAAATAGCAATGAGCATAGAAATTACACACGCTAAACCACGTTATATTACCAATTTGCTACAGCCATTTTTGTCGTCATGGCATAACCCAGTTTGACAACAACTTGATGTTCTTATCTGCGTCGGGAAGTAATTTGTCTCTTAAACAAAGCCATTAGTTTGTGGACAGTTTAATGCCAGCAGCCAAAGAATAGTTTTTTCAGCCAGCACATTTTTCGTGTTATCTACGATGATCTGCTGTGAGGTATTATGACATCATAAATTGGTACATATTGTACATTTATCAAGAACTTTTGTGACATTTATCAAGAACGCTCACTGACGATTTTATGTCTTATGTTGCGCAAACAGTATGCATAGGCTTACCGGCGAATGGAGCTTGAATCATGAAATTTTTTTACTTCTACTTTACGCTTGTTACAAGTCATTTCTCATATTTCAATCACAAGCTGTAACGAGAGTAGCCTCATCCAACAAAATACTATGGCGGTGCGTTTAGAATTAAACAAACTGCAAGATGGGCAATGATAGTTTTCGCCAAATGTTAATTAATTAGTTTGATCAGTTTATTGCAAATAGCCAAAGAATAGTTCACTGAGAAGAGAATTTCAGCCAGCACATTTCTCATGTTACCCAAGACGAAATGTTGAGGGGTAATATGACATCATCGATATGTGCCTATTGTACATTTATCAAGAACTACGCGCACCGGCAGTTTTATGTCTTAACGCACCAATTATTTGAACGACCAGCTGTTGTGGGGTATTATGTTATTGGATTGAGACTTGCCATATATCTGTCTATTTGCTTGGATCTGCGAATTTTTTATTTATCGTAATGTGCATATAACTCGTAGATGCAACCGCATATACATACCTTGTATTCTTATGAAATATCTGGCAGTATTTGTACATCACCTAAATGGCTGTATTTGTATATTGAGTTGGATATATGCATATGACTTTGGCAGCATATTTGGTTGTCTGTATATGTATATGAGTTGTCGATATATGCATAATATTCATGGCAGTATAATATGTATGGGACGTTACCAACCGTACATTTCTACATTAAATAATTGTTCATTATTCTGACATTTTCGTTAATTACAAACCTTCTTCTAGGGAAGATGTTGAACTTTCATCCTTGTCAGATTGTTGTTGAGTAACCTTCCTACGGCGTCTTCTTTTTTTCAAATCTTCTATCGTTCCAAAGTACGGTGGACTAGAACTCGATGTTTTTTCAATCTCTTCAATTCAATAAGCAAGAATATTTTAAAAAGTCATACACATGACAAGAATTACAGTGGGTGATAAATGAAACCTACAACAAATGTAATTTGTAATGTAACGTTTTTCTGAAATTCAGGAGATTTGAGAAATTTTCTCATTACAACTTTGTATTATGATATTTAACAAAAGTTGCATCCATTCCCCAAACTTTAAAAGTATTAAAGCTAGTATATGAAGATACATACAGTGTATTTCAATCATTTTAACCACTTATTACTAATGTGAATGGTATTTGCCTGTACCAAGGTAGGCTTGCCGCCGAATGGTGCTTATATCATGATATTTTATTCATATTCTTTAGGCTTGTTACAAGTCATTTCTCATATTTCAATCAAAAGCGGTTTTCTGTAAGCGTAACGAGAGTAGCCTCATTCAATAGAATACTATGGCGGACGCGTTTTGAATGTAACAAACTGCAAGGGTGCAATGATTGTTTCCGCCAAACGTTAATTTGATTAGTTTGTGGACAGTTTATAGCCAATAGCCGAAGAATATTTCACTGAAAAAGGATTTTCAGCCAGCATTCCATTTCTCATTTTATCCAAAATGAGCTGTTGAGGTGTACAATGACATCACAGATTGGTGCCATCTATCTATCAAGAACCACGCGCACCGGCAGTTGTATGTCTTAACGCACTAATTATTTGAACGACCAGCTGTTGTGGGGTATTATGTTATTGGTTGCGACTTGCCATATATCTGTCTATCTGCTTGAATCTGCGGATATTTTATGTATCGTAATGTGCATATAACTCGTAGATGCAACCGCATATACATATATATATATATCTAATACGGTAGTTAAGTAGACATAGCGTGCTAAAAAAGCGACAGTTATGTAGACGAAAAAATTGTGTAGACATTTTCCTGTCCGCTTAATTATTCCACGTTCCATAATTAAAACGTTTTGCGATATTTTGCTGAAATCTTTTTTTCTCTGATAAAACAGTATCAAAAATAATATGTTCTTTCAATATTTTTTAAATAATTGCACATTTTCGCCAACTTTAATGGGACAGTAGTTCTGCTGGTTTATAATCCACGGGTTTAATTTTCGTACATAAAGTGGACATTTTATTTATGCAAAAATCTTTTTAATTTTTCGGTATATGTTTTTACGATTTTTGGAGAGTAGGTTTGATAATTTTGATACAATAACCAGGCAGAACATGAAGATCGTCCGTTCTGTTTTTTGCAATATAAGCTCAATAAACTGAAAAGGACCTCAATTCACAACTCCGTACTAAAGAGGCTTTGTGTCGCAATAGTAAAACTGTCGGGTCGCCGAGAACTTTACCACGTTTGCCGTTTTGTTCGCAAGTAACCTGGGCGCCGTGAGGAGATTGGGATCTTCCATGAGTGCGTGATTGCCGAAATTTAGATAAAATAGAACAGTTGTGTTTGGAGAAGCGATCCAAGTCTTTTGTGTCAGGTGTTATCAGTTACCCAGTGAGTTGAAGTCGAGTCATAACAAGCAAGGATTTCAACGTCACCGAGGAATGCTGCTGGAAATCATCACTCATCGGATAAGGTGATTAGTCATAACGATTTTAATATTAGGGTTACTATATTTTTGGTGTTGAGATTTTTCACGTAATCCAGATTATCAAAATATAGACTACTGATACTGTTATGCTTTTACTGGTCGTAGTTCTGATCTGACCATCAAAATAATGCTACGACTGGGTTTGCGTTTGTAAGAGTGTGTAATTCAGAAGGATTCCAAATCCAGATGAAAATATAAACGAAGATTGTGAAAATTCAATGAATTCAATTTTTTGTCGAAAAAGAAGGATATACGAGAAGCGAGTGGTTGACGTTTGTATAGTTTGGTGTAAATAAGAATATCTAATACACCGCTCCATATTAGATTAAAATATTTCATCTTCGGAAAACAGTTTTGAAGAATTGCAATGCTAGCAATTTTGTTTTGTGATTTGGCACATATCCCTGAGTTATTTTACCATCCTCATCTAGTTATTTACTGGGCTGTATTTTTTGTTCATATTTAGGTGACTCTCCAACGAGATGGCCCACGTTTCAGAACATGGCAGACGGAAATGCGGGTAGTGATTCGGGGAAAGCTGTGCCAGGAGGTGACTAAATGGGTTTGCTATGCTTGTTTTTTTTATTAAATACAGTATCGTAAATTGATACCAATGAATGGTAATAAACCAAATCATAATATGATTTGTAGCCTATCACAAATAGCGCAGCTATCTACGAATAATTGTAGTGCACCTTTTGAAACTCTGGTTTATTTGAGTAATAATGCAATTATCCATTTCAAACAATTTCGTTTGTTCGATCAAATCAAGAGTAGCGTAATTCTGAATTGGACTAAAACACTGTGATGATGTTTTGTGACTTATGCATGTATTTTTGACCAAAGTTTCAGATAAGTCAACAGACTATACCGCACCATCTTCAGAATCACTTTCAATAAGCCAATGTAAGTGATTTCAAAGAAAACCATATATATGGAAAAGAAAAAGGCTGTAAATCAATTAAAAAAAAAGCTTTTTAAACAAACGCGAAACCAGAAAAAGAAACGACGAAAAGAAAAATATTTGCACGGATTGGGTATATCTTGCGAGAAGTTTATTTGTAAAGCTTTAAGACATCTCTGTATTAATTCATAAAGATGAACCGGCAGTGAGCTAATCTTGTCTCTCCTCAACAACTTAACCTAGTGGGCATATCCACATTCGTATACATACTTGGCATACATTTTTACTATTTAATTATAAATCAAAATAACAATCATGTTTTTGTATTCCGAAGTTGGTGCATTGAGGTTCAATAATTTCATTTTGATCGCTTGTATAGTTGACTGTATATTCACTGCTATAATTAGGCGCCCCTGATAGGTAGACATTTTGAGTTATAATTGGTGTAATGCTTTCATTTTAATTGACATGGCAAAATTCGTTTCGCATTTATAGGCCCCACTGAAAAGTCACTTAATTGAACATTTGAGATATGTTGTGTATAATGTTTCTCGATATTTTATTCAGAATTTCGTGTTTTAATTATATACCCTCTGAAATGGTCGGATGCTTGAAATTTTTTTTGAATGCTTCTCAATATTATTGCCATTCCAAAATATCATTTGCATTTACATGACACACTTACGTAGCTGAGTAGGTTACGATTTGCGATTTATTTTCTGTTTTGTTTTTCAATATGGTTTCAAAATTTTGTTTTATAATATTGTCACTCTCAAGTTATCGGATAGGTGAACATTAGAGATAAATTTGAGCAATATTTCCACAACACCAAAATATGATTAGTATTCGAAATTTCGTATTTCAGGTAAATTTCACACACTCAAGTGTGTGAGATATATTTTGTGTAAGATTTCTCAATACGATTCCAGAATTTTGTTTTCATAGTTGTATGCCACACTTAGGTGGTCGAATATGCGGACATTTGAGATATATATTTTGTGTAATGTTTCTCAATATTATTTCAGAATTTTCATTTCAATTTTTGTATGCCCCACTTAGGTGGTCGGATAGGTGGACATTTGAGATATACTTTGTGTAATGTTTCTCAATATGATTTCCGAGTTTTCATTGTGATTGTTTTATGCCACACTTAGGTGGTCAGATAGGTGGACATTTGAGATATACTTTGTGTAATGTTTCTCAATGTGATTTCAGAGTTTTCATTGTGATTGTTTTATGCCACACTTAGGTGGTCGGATAGGTGACAATTTGAGATATACTTTGTGTAATGTTTCTCAATATGATTTCAGAATTTTCATTTCAATTCTTGTATGCCACACTTAGGTGGTCGGATAGGTGGACATTTGAGATATATATTTTGTGAAATGTTTCTCAATATGATTTCAGAGTTTTCATTGTGATTGTTTTATGCCACACTTAGGTTGTCGGATAGGTGGACATTAGAGATATACTTTGTGTAATGTTTCTCAATATGATTTCAGAATTTTCATTTCAATTCTTGTATGCCACACTTAGGTGGCCGGATAGGTGGACATTTGAGATATATTTTTGTAAATGTTTCTCAATATGATTTCAGAATTTTCATTTTAATTCTTGAAAGCCACAATTAGGTGGCCGGATAGGTGGACATTTGAGATATACTTTGTGTAATGTTTCTCAATAAGATATCAAGAGTTTTCATTTTGATTGTTTTATGCCACACTTAGGTGGTCGAATAGGTGGACATTTGAGATATACTTTGTGTAATGTTTCTCAATATGATTTCAGAAGTTTCATTTCAATTCTTGTATGCCACACTTAGGTGGCCGGATAGGTGGACATTCGAGATATACTTCGTGTAATGTTCTCAATATGATTTCAGAATTTTCATTTTAATGTTTAATGCCACACTTAGGTGGCCGGATAGGTGGACATTTGAGATATATTTTGTATGACGTTTCTCAATACGATCTAAGAATTTTCATTTTAATGTTTAATGCCACACTTAGGTGGCCGGATAGGTGGACATTTGAAATATACTTTGTTGTAATGTTCCTCAATATGATTTCAGAATTTTTCATTTCAATTCTTGTACGCCACACTTAGGTGGCCGGATAGGTGGACATTTGAGATATACTTTGTGTAATGTTTCTCAATATGATTTCAGAATTTTCATTTCAATTCTTGTAACGCCACACTTAGGTGGCCGGATAGGTGGACATTTGAGATATATTTTGTGAGATGTTTCTTCAATATGATTTAAGAATTTTTTTTTCAATTGTTGTATGCCACCCTTAGGTGGTCGGATAAGTTGACATTTGAGATATATTTTGTGTAATGTTTATCAATATTATTGGAATGTCATAATTTTGACTTGGTATTGATATCTTGACACTCACAACATAGCAATCTGTTTAATCCATATGTTACACCATAGGGTTGGAATAGGCGAACATTTGTGATATGCTCTGTGTATTCTCAGTTTCAAATATATAACACGTTTGGATCAATTTGTTTCGATTTGTCTACCTTCACGTTGCATTTTGAGTATTTTTTGATATAGAAGAATATTTCCAAAACCAAACACAGTGCATCTCCCTTGCACGAAAGACGGAACATTGAAAAAGAAATGCTATTTTTTGTGATAAATATTGCTAAATCGTTCGAATCCATCGGAAATTGAAGCGAGGTCATACGCTTTAAAATGCGTATTAAAATAAAAGCAACATCATTTATGTAGACATCCAGAGCGACATATAAGAGGGGTCCGGCTTAGTGCCGAAATAGGCTAAAACATTTGGTGGTCTGAATTAAGTGGACGAATTAAGCGGACAAAAATTTTATATCTGTTATCGAGAGGATTATGTTGACTCTTTTTCTCCGTAGTGGTCAACGGCTCTCGCGCTCTCCAAGCACGTATTTAAAAACATTGATACGGACACAGGAACGACGTCCGCTCAAGTACTGCAATTATGGCAGGTCCGTTTAACTACCGTAATAGAGTTATATATATATATATATATATATCTTGCATTCTTATGAAAGGATCTGGCAGTACTTGTACTCCACCTAAATGGCTGTATTTGTATATTGGGTTGGCTATATATGCATATGTGTTTGGCAGTATATGTATATTTGGTTAACTGTTTATGTATATGAATTGGCGGTATATGCATATTCTTGGCAGTATATGTATGGACCGTTACCAACCCTATCGACGAAAACTACAAATATATATATATATAAAAAAGCATCATTCGAGAAGATGAATGCCGTGGTAAGCATTACGTTTTTTGGCACTTTTGTCAGCGTCATCGAGCAAATAGTTAGTTCTTCTTGGCTTTAACACTTCTTGGCATCTTTTTGCAGAGCCCGTAGTTATGTAGTACCATAGCCTTTAATATCTTTAGAAGCCTTCTGTGTCTATAAAAGTGGTCGCTTATGGCAATACTTTTAAATACCTTTTCTACCTATGAGTACTGTTGGTGAATACAAATTTTGGCAAACTGCCAATTTCTACAATACATAAATTGCTCATTATTATGCCATTTTAGTTAATTACAAACCTTCCTCTACGGCAGATGTTGAACTTTCATCCTTGTCAGATTGTCGCTGAGTAACCTTCCTACGGCGTCTTCTTTTTTTCAAACCTGCTATTGTTCCAAAGTACGGTGGACTGGCACTCGATGTCTTTACGATCCCTTCAATTCAATAAGCAAGAATATTTTAAACCGTAATGGACATGACAAGAATCACATGGGTGATGGATGTAACCTGCAACGACTGTTTTTGTTAATGTAACGTTTTTTTTTTCTGAAATCAGGATATTTGAGAAATTTTTTCATTACAACCTTGTATTATAATAAACTTTTAAGTATTATAGCTAGTATATTCTAGCTAGTAAATGAGGGTATGTAAAGTGTATTTCAATGCTTTTAACCTCTTATTGCTAATAGCGAATAGTATTTTCCTGTACTAAAGTCGCTGCCCGAATGTTCATGCAATGTTTAATGCGAAAAAGATGATGCCGTATTTTCTACTGTCGCTCAAGAGTTGCTCGTCTTTGTTTTATTATTTCTAGTTTAATCTCGTAATTTAGATTTCAGCCGTATACTGTATTGAGGTTTTTTTTTTGTCTTTCGCTATATATTTGGAACAATTCAATTCTATCTCGCAACTTTACAATACAGGAAGATTTGTCATTGCGATCTAGTGTATGCTTTTTTACCCCCGATAGAGTTCAGTTGGGATTTATTCCGCTAAGGCTTAAGTACGTTTAATCGTACCGGGGACAACACCCAGACTCAAAGACCAGTTATTGTTTCCCTGTTATCACTCATTATTATCAAAATTAAAATTATTACCCTTATTTTCATTTATTTCGTCTACTACTTCTGTCTCGACTTCGTTTATCCGAGTATGAAATCCTTTACCTTCGCATATTAGATTAGAGTCTGGTTCAGATTGTGTAAATGCAGCTGTTCCAGCTGGTTTGGAGATCGAAGTACAAGTGGGAATGTCAAAAGGTTTGTTGCCCTCTGTTGCAGTTGCAGGTGAATTTCCGACCCCATGTGCAATGTCCTCGTTATGTTTTTTCATGTCTCGTATGTATCTCACGGTTCGTGGCAAGAAGTTTATTCGATCGCTATCTGATAGGTCAGACAAGTCATTTGTAGTGCGTATCCTCAATCGTCTTTTTATCTGGGGTGATCGTGTTTTCGATCCTTGGCCCCCGGGTTTCAGACAGGTTTCTTCTAAAGTTGGACGAAACGCACCTGGGTTTCTAGAAAATATATCTTAAATCAGCAGTGATATTTTCTATACGATGCTTATTCACGACTAATCCTCCTAGCACCGAAACCTCTCCGGTTCGGGATTGCCTACAATACACAATTCATCACACCTTCGTTGAGATGGTGGATTTGGGGTTTAATTAAACTCGAGTTGTTTAACCTGCACGGCCAACACATTGAAGCCCACCGTTTTAACAGCTAGGCCATCACGCCCATGTGAATCGACTGTAGTTCAAAACAAATTACTTAATTTGATTGGGCGACATGGTAAATAGTTATGAGACATAATTGAACACAAATGTGCTAATTTTCTACAATATATATGAGAGTTAAAATTGCGTCTTGTTTCTTTTTCAACTCAGAATTGTGCTGAAATAAAACAGCAATAATATATGATAATTTTTACATATGAAATAAGCAATATAAAATTCAATGTCGAACATACCTTACAGCTCCATTGCATTCAGACCGTTGTCCGGTTGTTGAAGCTTCCTCGAATATGGTATCACTAGATATGATTATATTACAAAATCAATCAATATGCGAATAGTGTAAGCACCCACAGACATAAAAATATTTTTAATGAGGATGATGAAAGGCCACGAAAGGTATTGGATACAACATCTCATTTAATTACAAAGCCCAACATTATCCTACGACATCACTTAGACACCTGCTTTTTCTGTGTGTGAAACCATATTCATCTGTCTAGTTCACATATTCAATACAGTTCATTGCTATTTTATAACGTGAGCATCGTGCGGATCATTGACTGAATATGACTTGAAATATTGAACAAGTGATGGTAACTTAGTTAAGCTAACTGAACAGCAACTTCAATTCTCTTTTCCCAAACTATTCAAAGCTGTTATTTCAAGTATGTTCACAATTGTAACATTTAGTGTTTTGATTTTTTCCAATGCACTTTGTTCAAACTGATACTAACCGCAAGTTTCCAGTTTTACCCAAGAGCTGACTTATTCTTGAAATATCAATCGCGCTGTTTTCGCTGATACAATCGTGGAAACTGACTCTCCTGAAAAATAGTATAGCTATGTAATTCAAATGTAACTTTCGAAAGTATAAAAATTAAAAAATATTGTTTGTTTGTATTATTAAGAAATTGGTAAATTAAATATACTTACTTTTTCACCGATTTCTTCTGTTTTTTCTTCGTGAAACAGGACCGGGAACCAAATGCTGGTGTTATGGCTGAAAAATATTAAAAGTTATGTAAAAATACTGTATTTTAATATTTTATACCACCATGTTCTTAGTGTCCAACAGTGATGCACCTTTTTTACTGGCAAAATTGAGATATTGGGCTACAGTGTAACCGAAGCGAATTTATTTTAAGAGGGTATTTTTTAGCGGCCAAAAGGCCATTGCAAAATTTAGGTTCACCGTAAGTAATAAAATTTTCTATGCTCTTAAAAGTATGTTAGAGTAATAATTTTCAAAAGATGAATGTTTTCAATTTTGTTTAAACTTTACGACACTGAGGTTTAATGAAAAATATTACTTGACAAGGTTATATTAATAAAACTATAAAACATTATTAATAATCGAGTTACCATCATTGTTCGTTACAGAATGCTTCTGGAATGATTTTCGTTTAATTTGAAGCACTCCCGCATTTAAACTCTGTGTATTGAGTTTATCTGCCAGACTCTGGTCTTTGGGCAGTGCGTCCGATGCAGGCGTAGGGTTTGTATTTGAATTTATCAGTGGCTCCATTTCATCTATAAAAATGAAAACGATATTGCGTATTTCTCTTAAGTATACTCACAGTTTTTTTTGAATACCACTTCACAATGCAATTAACGATGTAATCAAATATGCACTATATAATTTGTCGAGAGTTAATCTTGCCAAACGTTTCAATATACCTATTTTAGAGTCGATCACTTCACTCTCCTCGTCTTCTTTGTTTTCAGTTTGATGCAATGGCGATGCATTTTTCTGGTCAGTTACGTCCTTCTCTATATCAGTCTTTAAATTAATAGTAACAGCTGGATAAAAAACGCAGGATGAATTATCACTGTCATCTTCAACATCACCTTGAGAGCTGTAATGTTGGTTCCAGCTCTCAATTTTTGTCTGACGCTCGATTTCTGAAAAATTTTCAAAGAAGTTTCTCGTCAATATATCATATTGTTATATATTAGAGCAATTATATATTATTTAAAAATCAAACAAGGAATGTTTAGGTTTTTTTTGTGACGTGAAAATAGGTCGTTCTGAAGTAGCATGTTGGAATTTATTGTTTATTGGCTGTTTTATTGGAGCTTACTCAAAAGATTCTAGTAAAATATTTTGGGGTAAGACACGCTGTTTTAGCCAATGCATTCGGAAATACCCTCAACCCTAGACAAACAATTTACCCTCTGTATTCAGCATGATTTCCTCCCAAAGTTGACACGAAAATTCAGCCCTGGAAAATGAAAAAATACTTCAAATATTTTGACGAATATACAATTTCTCGATCTAACTCTGTATTTTTGTACTCAGCAGTGGCCTTGAAATACAAAAGCTTCATGTGTCCGCCTATGATGACGGGACTCATGACATTTATATTTTGTGGTATTTATGGAATTGCTGCAGTTCATTTTGGATGGATTCACGCCTTTTGCCTTTTTCGTATACGATTCGACGTCAGTTTATGTCGCCATGGTTAGAATAAGTAGCTACGATTACCTTGTTATTTTAATTTGGATTCAATAAGCCTTTTCATTCAAATAAATCAGGCTGTTAATATTCTTTTTAGTGCTCGATTTTCTTTATTATTCAGGGTATTAGTCGTCCCCAAATTTTTTTCATATTGGTTACCTTTCATATTTATACGTCCAATTTTTGAAAAATTCAAATTTTTGTTGTATTCAAACATGTATTCACAAAAATTAGGATAGGAAGATAGCTGTAAAATTACATAGCTTATATTATATGCAAAAAATATACAATAATTTTTGTATATTACCTCAATTCATCAATGATGTCTGAGTGTTCTGGATACAAATCTTTGATTTTTCTCAACCCCTCTATTGACAAACATTGTATTTCACAGAAAGTTAAAGCTTTCACATTAGCAAATGACACAAGTATCTTATCGTTTAAAATGTCAGAACCAAAAAGATCATCTTTACCTGCACGAAAAGAATAACAAATGCTCATTAAAAACAATTATTTTCTGTAATAACATGAATTATATTTATTTTTCATCTCAAAGAAGATGGGAGGGAAATTTTATTTCAGTTTTTACTACTGGAGGTATTCCAATAATATACAGTATACGTTATTTTATGATATTTTCGCTAAAACAATTGCACTATTTTCTGTGTAGATGAGATCTTCAAAAACGTTTGAAAACATATTTTAGACTTTTACTGACTGCAGGTAACTCACTCAAAATTGCCGAAACTATGTCATTTCTTGAAACTTCCAATGATCCACTGCATAGGAGATAAACATATTCCAGTGGATCTCCAACGTGTACAAAGGTATCACCAGGAGAAATGAATCTCCTGCCTGCGTGGAGTGATACATATCTTTTACAACCCTGGAAGAAATAGTTTTTTTTTCGTTCATATATATATATAGGTGGTAAAATTTTTATCGAGTGGAGCTTTCGAACAGCTTGCAATCTTGTTGTTGCTTACTTGTTGGAAACGAACTTTATATATGGATCGGTTTGTAAAGTTGCTGTTGTTTAAGTAGAATAAAAAACTGTCCTTTGACAGTTTGGAAAAGTGCTAAAAAATCTTTTCAAAATTCGAACAATTCATCCCAAATTTTCGGGTTTGCGTATATTGCGCTCACACGTGTCACGTGTTGCATCTGACAAACCCGCGTGCTCAGCCAGGTCAGCTACAGTGATTGAAATAGGAGAATAGCTGATTTAAATCGTCAAATCAGTCATTCACCTCTGTTTCGATATATTTGAGCATCGCCCTCTTGTTTAATGATTGGTTTATGAATAATTTTCGGTAAAGAGGATTTAATTTGAATGATTATGGCTGAATAAATGGACAAAATTTATTTTATGTTGAAATCTAATCAATATATCCGCTGTTTAGTATGTAAATACCACATGTGGGAATAAACGGTATAATCGAATTTTTCTGTTTTCCCATCTTTTGCAAAATATAATCTACTTGTTTATTATATAGGTTATATTTATATAGGATATAGCATATGGGTTCAATTTCAACTGTGAAAGCTATAATAATCTTCTTATAGAATTTTGTATGAACATCGCTTGAGATAAAGCTGTCACTGGTTTACCTCAGCCAGAAGCTTTTTCATGCTAGCGCCACTCACTCTATCAGCCAGTCATATTTGTTGTACTGGACACAATTTATTGGGACCAACACCGTGGTATCAACACAAATAAATGAATTGAAATTTTCGGTAGTTTGCTGCTAATAACGTAAAACAAACTACCCAATTACCTGGTCCGTATTTTTGAACACAGGCAAATTCAGCAAGTCTTTGTGCAAATGCATTGTCACATCAGCTCTCAAATTATCAGGCAAAAGTTTCATGACCTAATAAGAATACAGAAGAATTACAAAATTAACGAATCACAATCATTGATTGAATAAAAAAAAGATAAACTTCAATGAGTTCTTTACTCCAAAACATTATTTATGAAGTCCGGCCCTTGATATCGATCAAGGATTTGGGCTGCACTTAAAATTGATATTTTAGACACTTCGGATTAAATAAAAAATGTACATCTTAGCATCTCATTTAAGCCCTCGACAACATTGGAACATTTGCAAACGGCCAAAATATATATCATAATGAAGACATTCCATGTATGTTTAAATGATTGTTCGCGCTCAGAAAGTGAACTAAATTGAGGACAATTTATTGCTTTCGAATATGCTCAAATCAAGTTTACAAGCACTCAAAAAATTTAGGGGGTTTAGGAGTTTGGATACGAATTACATGACCTTACAATGTATCTAAAGCGCGACAACATTACTTTTGTGACAAAGTATTATTATATACCTGAAATCATATGAGATGTACCTCTCACAAGTTTGATGTTGGTTAAACTGGTTACAAACTTTACTGTTGTTAGATTTTGAATATATAAATTTTTATACCTGTTCTTCATTGACGCCTTTGTTTAATGCCCATTTTGCCTGGAATGTCTCAATCATTCTCGTTTTCAGAGGTTTCGGTATTCTGTAAACAAACACTTGTAATTTTTTCCATATATACCATATAAATAAACGATTTGTAATGGGAAATTACAATACAATTGCACATTAGCAATAACCTGTTTGGCAGCCTTGGGACAGGCAATGATCTCTCCATAGAATGCAGGTATTCGGTTCAAGGGCCAAATACACACCATGGTTGTCTAGCTTGGATTCCTGTTTATAAGATAAATGGAAAACGTTTCTAGAAAAATCTTACAAAGAACGTAAATTTGCCTTGTAGGTATTCTATATCTCAGTGACCAAGTAACTCAAACAACAAGATGATAATAAAAAATATTATACACCATGAAAAAAATATTATAGCCAACGTACCCACGCGCGCGGATAAAATCTTTCAAATTTCGTTCGTTCCTGTCGTACTCGGATCGTTTTTCGTACATACGTTGAATTATGGCGTTGATGCTTCCAAATACGACGGCATGCATGATTGCTGTTATATAACAATGGTTATATTTTACTGATTAGATCACTTAGATTAGATCACGTTATAAAAGCTACTGCAATCGATCATCCATTGAAATGAATTCAATATCTTCTTGTTTCGACTGAAATGGTATTTAAAAAGTGCATAATTACCACACAATTAATGCAGTGCTGTTGTATAAACTATCGTTGTGTTGTCACGTACGCGAGTTAATAATGAGTGAGACATTTGTTTTTTCCTATACAATCGATAGAGATGCTGTAAAGTGCTTTATTGTGGCTTCGTTAGTGCTAATATCGAATTACAATCGCTCATTATAATGATAATCTCGACCTATGCTTTTGCGCGTGTGGTATAATAAATAAACACGTTTTGGATGCATTGGAATGAAAACTGCTTTGCATAAACAATTTCTTAAAATAAGACGCCTAATCTCAGAAAACGGAAGCGAGATACATTATTCATATCAGATTGCCATTCGTATGCAGTGCATGAAATTTGTGCGTCAACTGGCGTTTACGCTCAAATATATTAATATTCATTACATGATTCATTTTATAAATTTTCTCACACCTCCGATAATCATGACGCAAATTGAAAAGATTTTCTCCACGTTGGTATTGGCTGATACATTTCCAAATCCGACACTTGTCAAGCTGCTCAATGTAAAATACAGTGAAGTCAAATATGCACTTTGAACTCCAGGACCTCCCGTATTATTTGCATAGAAAGGTAAATGCATCGCGTCGCTCAATTCATAAACCCAACCTGTGAGTAAAGAATATGTTGTATAAAGCAACATGTTGAATACAATTAAACAAAATGAAATAAATTCATCAATTGCTTAAAAACTTGTTTTACTTATTATTAGCTGTTAGTAAATTAGTACATATGAAATTGAAACTTGAATTTTTTTCATCCCAATAGCTTTTCATTAGGTTTTTCATCATTAAAAAAGTTGACAAGTAATAAAATATGACGAATAACATTAAAAATTGAATAATTTCATAAATAGAAGGAGTACTGACCTGTCCCTCCAGAAGTGACAAATTCTTGATTCTGGAATTCGGACCATCCTATACCAAACCATATGCAAGCCATCCAATGTGCCACCATGCCAAACATGAACATTAGCATAAACAAAACGACAATTCGATATTGAGACCAATTGTCAATCTTTTTGTAAAGTTTGAGAACCCTCGCTAGTCGCACAGTTTTCAACATGGCAATTGGGGTTCGAGCTGAAATCTTCTGGTCAGAATAAAACAATGTTAATTCAGATTTGGGAAAAACTTAGGTGATGTAATGCATATACGGATGTGATGTTTTCACACTTTTTCTATAGACAAGACACCAGACAAACTGTCAATGACAAAGCTGCTGTCTACATGAGACGAAAAATATTGAGCTTAAAAAAATAAACTTGTAGCAAAGGTGTGACCTTGTGGTTAAAGTGTTGGACGTAACTATATGTTTGCATCACAGGTCAATAATCTCCGGCTCATATCCAATGCTCATTATCTCACACACTATAATAAATTGGGTGACGGATGCCAATTGGAATAATCATAAACCTGGGAATCTTTACTTAGCAAAGGCTGCGTTGAGAGCCTTGTTTGGCCCTATAGACGCATAAAAACGTCGAATAAAAATCCATATGCATACGATAAAAATGCAATAGTGAAAATGACTAAACGTGATGATAAAAATCGGCCACATCTGTTACAAATGTCAAATTTGAATACGAGCAATTCAAGAGTCATGCTGCACACTAACACAAATGTTTCTGTAACGTTTCTTCCGGCTAAAGTCAAATTTCAGCAGACAAGCATAGCATAATCTGGTCATGTCAAATCCCGCTGCAGCAACCGTGCATTATACGACTGCGGAACTACTAGCGCAAAAGCATTGACAAAGACGGAGTTGGTCTCGCGTAATATCTGCTGGTTAAATAATAAAATTTTTGGAAATTTTCCACTACCCACTTACCCATGAGGTAGATAGAAGATGACTTATAAAGTCAAAAGGTATAGCTGTGATTAAATCCACAATAAAAGTTGACTTCACATAGTTAATCGCTATTTGTTTTGGCAGAGAAACGATCTGGCCCATCTTGTCCACAAAGGTTGTTCGAAAAGATAAAAGTATATCTTAAAATAGAAATTGAAAAATTTTTAAAGTGGTAGAAGAAAGCAATGCTCGAATACAAAACACTTAGGTAGCACCGGTTCTACCAACAAAAACATACATACTTGCTCGCCAAAAACTAGTCAATAAAAATCAATGTTGAGCATTTTGTAAAATACCATAACTGAGCAACGGCAGACCTTCCGTTTTATTATGTAAAAATGGAATAACATTTTATATATAGCTCTAAAACTGTCCCTTATTTACCTACTTAACATCCCACAGTAATTGGTCCAGTAGCTTGAGCGAGAAAGGATTTTGTCTTTGAAAATAACAACAACTTAGCACACTGATGTATAGGTCCAAATCGTTTTCAATAATTAGAAGAGAAACATAATTAAACAAATTATGAAAAAAAATGAATTATTTGCTCACCAAATATAAATATAAATTCTAGAAAAACGTCAAATACGTAAGTTGGACAGTGGTCGTGTATGCTGTATGAATTTGTGATGGTTCCATTGGTATTGTTGCTTGCGTTCGTTGATAAGTGTTGAAGTCCTGGCCAAGTCTGTTGATATGGGAATACAAATTATTCGTTTAAGGTTAGAAATTTCGGAAAATTGTACAGAATGACCCACCAAAACCAGAACCCATAATTTCTTAATTACTTCTACAAAAATGAAACATTTTTATTCAATGTTTTAGCTTCTGTTCGCATATGATTGTACCCAAACGTTCCAATAATCCAGGACGGTCTTCACAGAAGCTATGTTCTCTCTAGAACAGGGTCGTCCAACCCCTGGCCCGCGGGCTACATGTGGACCGCCGAGGAGTTTCGAGTGGCCCGCGCTGTATTTTCGGAAATAAATAAAAAAAAAAGTGCGTAAAACTTCTATTTTTCAAGTGATGTAGTTAATATAAAGATTTGATAAAAAAAATTTATTCAGTTTCCTGAAATGCGCTCTGCTAGCCCTTTCAAACGAGCGATGAGTGCCATTTTGAATCGAAACCAACTGGAAGATATCGATACTTAAATAGTCGCTTACACACTTGGGTCTTCTACTACTCTCTTTAACTGTATCTCATCTGTGAGACAATCTTCTTTTATTTTATCACGTGGTCTTTCGTTCAAATGTAGCACCAACCAAATATTACTTGGTCAAATCTGCTGGGGGCATAAATGATAATTGCCAATGCTATGTGTTTAGGCGTGGTATGTACATGCATAAAATCCTTGATGTTTTGGCAATGAAGCAAAATATTGATGAGTTGACAACTTTGGATTGCTTTGGCGCTTTGAATCCCCTGTGAGATCACTAATTTCTGACAGTCATATGAAAAATTGGCTTCGCATTGCTACATCGTCCATTTCAGCGAATATTGAAATTTTGCCAAACTTCACACCAAAATATCTACGCGTAGAAGGACCTTTGTTGACTCTACAGTATCTTCGTTTTTTTTTATTGTTCTTATTATTGAGAAAGTTTGATGCGAGGGTTTTGTTTGTTTATTCATCAACTTTTAGTCAATGTAGCAAAACTAGAAAATAATTACCATGTTAAGTGGCCCGCGCAAATATTAGTAAACTAAATGTGGCCCGTCGGCCAAAAAGATTGACCGACCCTGCTCTAGAATATGTTCCAAATTACCTGGGTTCTGTTTTTCTTTTGGGTCACCCTGTATATGTCGCTAACTGGGCAGGAATTATGAGAAAATGAATTGGAGTGAGATGTGTGCTAGAGACGACAACTAGCAAACCAGCACGCGTATAAATATAAAACGAGAATATCGGTCAGAGACCGATGACTTATCGATCGAAAGTTAGGGGATCCCCCAAAACAGCGCTCTTACTTCATAGTGACACCTTGTGTCCCATCACTAATTAATTAATAACTCGCTAATTATACGGCATAATTCACCCAAAATCAATATGCTTCTGGTCCGAGATATGATGAATGCACATGCAAAATCTGGAGCAGATTCAATCTCGCTTTCGTGAGATATTGCGTGCATCTAACAGACAAACAGACATACAGACAGACAAATACCTATCAACATACTTACCGATTAAAATCGATAAGTAATTATGCATAATAGAATCCCTCAAATGCATTGAATTTATATATCAAAAGGCAATAGGATATATGAATTTGAAACTTTGGGATTTGGATTCAACGAGTCACAAACACCTGATTGACTGTTATTGAACATAAATATTTTCAACGGTCAATCATCAACTGCTGAGCTATATATACCATAATGGTTCAAATTCACCTTAATATAACTTTTACCGTATAAGTGAAAAGGGGGGCGGGGCAAACATACAACTAAATGCTTTACCTGCAACGCTGCATAGTACGGAACAGTGGTTGCTACGTATAACGTACATAAAAAAATAATCCAATCCCATAATATTTTTGTTATACTGTAGTGCAATACGATGAATACCGACTTTTTGATGTCTGTGAAAGCTTCATATTCTAAAGCACGATGTCCATTGCTTGTAAACAGCTTTAAAACAATGTTAAAACATTAAATTCATCACAGAATAGGAAAGATAGAAAAATAAATGGAAGATTTAAAATCCATACGCTGCTAGTTGACGCACAACTGTTTATTCTTGATGAGGTCAAATCTTTTCTTTCAATATGGCCTGATAAACTATAAAGAACTGCTCTACTTCGTCGTCTCTGATGAGGCATACATGATGAATTTTCAATTTCTCCCAACGAAGTGCTATCAGAATCTTCTGCGAATCAATAAAAATACAATACTCAAATATATTGATACTAAGGTCGCAAAATGGTACAGGTACGGAATGCCTGAAAGGACAGGGTTTGCTGAAATAATCGGCGAACAAATATCTTTGGTAAAATAGGACATGGTAAATTGAAAAAAAAAAGTTAATTCAAGCAATAGAATTCTTTGGCTACTGTAATCGATTGACCTATTAGTTTTAGAGAAAAGTATTTTTTTTTTCAAACGACAAGGATAACTACCGTAAGAAATATAGCAAAACGATCTGCACATTTCCTTCGTGCAATAATGTGGAATGTGATATTATCGTATACAAATTGATATAGTAGTTTCTACTTTCTAGGTCGACAATTATTTACTGCAGCATCAGTTGTATTAGTTCTGCATGTTTTAAGCCATGTAATTAGTATTTTAAATTTTCCTAAAAATAAAAATTCAATAAAATTCATTCTAAAACTTATTTGAATGAATGAAAACACCATGCAGAGTTTGTGACAAATATGTTTGTGTTAGTTTACAACAAGACTCTTGAATAGCTCAGTATATAAAGTTACTCTTGATCAGCATCCTTACATTATATGCATACACCGGCACAAAAGAATGGAAGAAGGATAAGTAATTAGTCCCGTAGTAATTCGATCGATAGCAGAGTTAGCGAAATGTTAAATCGTGGTTCAAACTTTAATATCTATACACCGAACAAATATCATGAATCGAAAAATTTTCCTTCTGCGAATAATTGGAATCGAAACAGCATCGTCTATTTTAATAAACCATATCCATTCCATACTTGTCAATATTGGATACGGCTTAGTGGCGAAGACAAGCGGTTCAAATTATATAAGTTAATTGAACCGAACAAACTGATATTGAGAGAGAAAAAGAGAGAAGGTTCACCACGCTTAATACCATGGGAATTTTAATCGCAGGCATGGGAAGATATTCACTAATCCTCAGGGTATTTATCGGGTCCACAATGAACGGTGTATTATATATAATGTGCAATATATAAATCATTATTATTAATGAAAATGCTTCATACTAGAATAAAATTCGAAATCTTTGATGTATTGATCTCGCTAACCAATACCGAAAAAATCCTTCCCAAAAACTCATTGGATAAAGATTTGTAGCTGTTCAATTAACCATAGCCATACTTTTAAGACTAGACAAAGTTTTCGACGATTCCATGAGGCTTTTTTCGAGCTCCGATGCATCTTCTTCCGTAACTTTTTCAGGACTCTGGTTTTTAAGACACACCATGAACCAAATAACATTTTTGCTCTTATCACGGATTGGATCGATATCAAGTAAGCATTCGAACATGGATCCTGTAATTTATAAAACTGTTAAGACGTTAAAATAAAAATTGTTGATCTGCGAACCCCGGTTAACAATATCATACATCTTCAGCTTTATCCAACGCCATATCGAGACATTATAAATTATAATTATATAACATGCATAAATCCTAAAGTCTGATGTGATGGGTCAGCGTCGTCGCCACCGTAGTACCTGTGCGGGGTAGTCAGGTTGTCTCCTATTTTTTCCAGCCTTACAAACATTTTGTTAAACAAAATATCTCAAATAAAAACATAATCGTTTAAAAAAAAATGTTTTTTAATATTCAAAAGATTTATGTTGTTTTAGTAGATGCTTAATAATATCAGTGGTCGGCAACCTATGGCACGCCACGTTAGACTAACTTGTAAGGACGTTACAATTAAGATATTGCCAGACCGACCGAGTAATTATGAATATGGGTTGTGTGTCGGTTGAATGTAAGTTCTAGGTGTCATGCGAGTGATGCAAGGACGTTAGACCCACATACAGGGCTATCTGTCGCTGTTGAAGGTGAATGTTGATGGAATCAGACGTAAGCCAACGAATAGCAGGAAAGTTTGATTAATGCCGAGTGATTTGCTATGCCTATTGGAGATTGTCAATAAGGTAAAACCAACATTAATAAGCGTCGTTGTAAAATAAGTCATTGAACAAGAGGGCTATTCACAAATAGACACGGTACAAAAACCGAGTCGAGTTTTTGAGCCAAATTCGATTAGCAAAAATTCGATGTAGTAGCGTCAGTTTTCTCAAAATCCAAAACTCGCTCACCCGCGAAGAAAAAAAGTTTGTCAAAATATGGAGATTAATTTTGGAGATAAACTACTGAACATTTGAAATCGATGGGTTCGGTTGTCAAGTAGGAAACCGCCGAAAATCCAGAAACGAAAGCTAGGTTTTCAATTACCAGTCTTACCATCTTTTCTATAAAGCATTATTTTTGTGTGAAATTCCTTCTTTTTATTCAATGAATCCCAAATAGCTTTTTTGTCATCATCGTTCGTCTTTTTTCCGTACAAAAAACTGCAAGTGCAACTTTTTTGCATGACCTGCAATACAGGTAAATAATATTACATCTTAGGCAATATTTTGACGTTTTTATTCATAATCATTTATTATACTATTTGCAATTGGAGGTGATAGTATGATAACAATTGCTTATTTTTATCCAAATTACAATGAGAATTAATCAAATCATATGACTTTTATAACGTAATTGTATCTTATTCAACCACCCAAGCAGCAGAATGCTCCTCATTTAAACAAAGCAAAGGGCAAATTTCCTCACGACATCAAATTGTATCATACATACCCGGAAAATACCCGGTCTCGAAATTGTCGTGTCCCACTTGCCCCAATGGGACAGGGGGGATAAGTGTGAGAAGTGGTACGAGGGGGACACGTGGGACATGACGTTTTTGAGACACCAATACATAACATGCATATCATACATATTTTGCTACTCATTTTAAATACAGTAAGTAATTTATATATTTACCTGCGCTTGTGGATGACCAGTTAGTTTGCAGAATCCATCTGAACAATATACGATGCGATATACACCAGGTATCTGTGCACTTCCGAGAATAAAACAACTTTCTGAAACGCAAAAATATCAGTCACCCTCAGTTGAAGTTTTCAAAAGCATATCGGAAATTCTGGACAATAAAAAATTAATTTTATATAATTTAAAAATATGTCTAACTAAATTTTATTCTCGCAGTATAGTAGTTTGGAAGTTCAACCTAAACACATAACATTGTGCTCTCGAGTATCCAATACACAAGTTTCACAAACTTGTCAAGCGCCAAGGCTTGATCGCTTCTTAGCTAAATCAATGCGATGTTGTCAAAATCAGGGCATGGTACTTGGTACTATAAAATGTCACTTCAATTGCTGGTTATATTATTATCATTGTTAGAAAGTATCAAAAATGACGGGGTTAGACGATGGAATATTTGCTATACACACCCCCTCCTGTACGGTGCAATACTTGCAACGTCTTGATACAAGATTACAAAGAAATTTTAGGTCGGGTTAGACTTTTGTGTTAACTTTAAACCTAGTTAAATTAAGAAAAAAACGTTATAATCAATCAATTTTGTGCAACAAGTGGCACCAACAAGTATAACAGTGACCATTCGATTATTCGGTTCCATTCCTTTTGAACCCACGTACATTTGAATTCGTAATTTAAACCCACGACAATTGCGCCTGATTACTATTGCACCTATGGGTATTTGAACCCAAACTAACCCTAACCCATGGATTTTAGCACCCTCATATAAATTGAACCCGCGGATATACGGGTGCAAATGTAAGGGTTCAAATGTACGATCACCGATTATTCGTGTTTTTAGTTTGTGCATTAGTTCATAATTATGAAAATCAGCATTTGAATTTCGTCCTTTCTATCGGAAGATCACTGAATTAACAAAAAATATGAAATGAATTGATAATCCTGATGTTATGTGTATAATAACAAGATAGCAATGCTCAAATAAAAGGACACGAATGCCAAATGACTAATACGCCCCTATGTTCGTGGAAATCCCAGGCTAATGTTGAAAAATTTTTCGTATGTGCCCGTTTATACGAAAAAGCAACAAAATTCCCGGCGGAATGCGAGACTAGGACTTCTAGCAATTTTTTCTACTTTTAGGTATCGAAAAAGTGAAATCTATGTTAGTCCATTGGTTGCGAAAAAAGACTTAATATTATAAGCCTTATAACCTCAAAACAACCTTGGCAATTTCAGTAATAATATTTAACGACACGACTTCAGTAAAATAGATTTTTTTTGTTAATGATTGTCTCAAATGCAGTCACCCCGCTTCTAATAATCTCCCACAGGGGGAAATCACACATATTTAGGATTTTAATTTGATCGATTTTTCAAGAAAATCAAACAAAGAAACGCATTTCGTCGACAATAACCAAAAACAATCAGTTTATATATCCCTCCCTTTGTGTTGATATAAGCCCTAGGGAAGAGAAGTCAAATCGAAAATACAATAAAGGCAATTATAGCGAGCGTGAATGGTCTAATTTATTTTCCACACGAAGTAATGTATTTTTCCGTTGATTGCACAAACGGCGTTATTTAAGTGAGCTAATGCGAAGAACACCTAATAGGCGCTAATTGAAAACCCAACGAAAAATGAGTATTTCAAATTTCAGACTAAACTAATTAGTACCAGGAACCAGTGGCGTAGCCAGCCCAAAATTTTGGGGGGGGCCAAATTTGAAAATTATAGAAATTATATTGGGTTTAAAACACCCGTTCTTCAAGCGCAAAACAACAACAGATGGTCAACAAGCAAACTGATTCAATTACTCAGCTGGATTTTTGTGAATACAAAATCCAGTAATAAACAATTTTTTATTTGAAACAATTTGAAGCAATTTGAATAAGTAAAATACATCGCCGCGATTAAAAGTCCATCCTTCGCTTCCCGCCAACTATGCCCGACACAACTCGATTAATTTTCTCTTCGGTGACCATTTCACGGTGACAGTGAAGCACACTCAAATCAGAAAGGCGATTGGACGTCATTGATGAGCGCAGCCATGTCTTTACCCGTTTCATGCATGAGAAAGACCGCTCAGCCTCAACGGTGGTTGCTGGTAGCGTCATAACGATCTGCATTGCGGTGTACACGCACGGATAATCTCGAGCGCTCAGAAGAAGCCCCTCCAAACATTCGTCGTTAACGTCGGAACTTAGAGAAGTTCTCCACAGTCTCACTTCATTCTGGAGGTTATCCAATAAATACAGACGCTCTACCTCATCCACGTGAACTGGTTTGTTCGGTGGAAGAATTGATAGCAATGAAAAAAATGATGGGTTGTCAATGAAGCGTTCCCGAATAGAGCAGCTCAAGCCGTCGACGTATGGGAGATATACGGAACGTTTAAAAATACTGGGATGCTGAATCAGCACAGACATGGTCGTGATAAACTTGTACTTCGACTACTCTGGGTATTGTCAACTCTTTTCAAGCCAGCTATTTCACAAGCTTCTTTGTAAATATTCAATGCTAGAACGCTCTGAAGAGAGGATGTGAGGTTCTTTACTGACGGCACACTGACTCCGACCGCCTGAAGTGCGCGCTAGTGGCTCCATTAGTGCCGAATATCGACCAATCAAACATACGGCGTAGATAACCGACGACTTTTCTAGAGCAGATTTCAGAGAAAAAGCCTTCGCCCGCGTCTCACTGTTAGCATCTTTCGCCAAAGAATCAAGAGCCTCAAGTACTCGTTTGAAGTTGCATTTGAAGATTCGGATGCTCTTGTACTTCTCAGACCATCTGGCGGGGCAGAACAAAGGGATGTTAATTCCTAAACCCGCGCGCCTTTTAGGGCTCTCCCTGAAAAAACGAATAGTCTCACGAATCATATCACAGGTGCTTCTGATGATTGCAACTTTACTTTGGTCATTTATGACCAAATTCAAACAAATGAGAAGCGCAGTGCACAAATATTGCGCGCGGGTATTTATCACGAATGCGTTTTTGCACACCGCTGACGTTACCTGCCATTGTCGTTGCACCATCATAGCCTTGCCCCACAAGTTTTTGCAAATCCACTCCTATACCAGAGAGGTGGGTCAAAATATTTGAGGAAATTGATTCGGCAGAAACAGAATCCATTTCCACTAATCCTGTGAAGCGCTCGCACACTTCACCACCTTTCACATACCTCAAAACGATGCTTAGTTGTTCTTTCCCAGAAATATCACATGATTCGTCGGCTATTACGGACACAAACGATTTATTAGCCTCCATAACGATATCTTGCACTATCATGTTGCTTGCTACCTTGAGAATTTCATTTTGTATCATCGGGCTTGTATACTTAGCGTTTCCGGCCATTCGAGCGAAATGCCTTTTCAAATCTTCATCCCCTGCGTCGATACGAAATAGAAGAAGGTTCACAAAATTTCCACTATCCCCGGAATGTCCGCGCAAGGGTATGTTTCCATGCTTTTGACAAAATTTTTCGCAGCTATATTTGATTCTCGGTGGTAATTTGTGTCTCGGTGTGCTACAGCCTTTTCCATAAATTTTTTGTAGTCAATGCATGGTCTTGTAACAAAGGCAGTGTCCCTGAGTGTTCCATGCTTCAAACGTGCTTGCATGACTATGCATATCTCACACAAACCACCCCCATCAGAGAGTTGGGGGTAAACTAACCAACTGCAAAATCTGTTATCGTCAATCCATTTTTTGAGAAATTTACGACGACTTTGTCTAACAGTATCCAGAATCGTCACGTTTTTTCGGACCATCCGAAGTTAGAAGCCTGCATCTCTCCGCATCGGTAAGCTGTGTATGTGTCTTAAAAATAAATCCAAGATCGTTTGTTTTCCCTTCGTTGATTATTAGTTCATCTTCGGGAATAGAAGTGATAGACGTAACTGACGTAACCGGTGCATCCACAGCCTGAGAAGCGCCTATTGATGTATTTGAGGAAAGCGAGTCTTTATTTCGCTGAAAAAAACTATCGAATTTCGCCTGTTTAAATTTAGCCATCGAAGTAATTTGGTCATCAAAATCCAAGCGTTTCGAATAAAAATCCGGCGAGAACAAATCAAGACCGAGTAACTGACCAGCGAATTTCGCCTGTTTAAATTTAGCCATCGAAGTAATTTGGTCATCAAATTCCAAGCGTTTCGAATAAAAATCCGGCGAGAACAAATCAAGACCGAGTAACTGACCGCTTGCGAAACAGTCTTTCCCATACTGCTCATAAGAGCGAACGGTCAAGTCTTTGTGACGTAACAATGACAATCAGCAAGCGTGACGAGACAAGATGCCACAAAACTGGTGGATTAGGAATGGAATTCTTGAAAATTTTGGGGGGGGCCATGGCCCCTCTGGCCCCCCCCCCCCCCTCCCCCCCCCCCCCCTGGCTACGCCTATGCCAGGAACGTGTATAGCACATACATAAACATAAAAACACTTTTTTGATGATTCATTTCACGGCCATTAATATAAAAATTCATGTATCGTAAACAAGTTAATCAAAATTTCAGTCAGGTTTAAATTTGGGTGAAATTCATAAGAATGTGACGTATTCAGTTGCTCACAACTCAATGTTTCTCCATACTATGACGTCACGTACTGATTAGGTCATTACGTCATAGTATGCTGCACATGAGCATCTTGTTAAGATTTTGATAAATGACAAGAATATCGTAATCACTACTCTGGAAAAATATTGCGCTGTGATCGCACCCCGCGCTATTACTTTGAAAAATCATGAATTGATCAGAGAAAGCTAAAATTACATTCTGACAAACAAGAAATATTCAAATTGAATTAATATTGTACCTATTATGGAGTACTCAAATGACGGCAGAATTCCCACCTGATATCAAATATTTCGGTTATTTTTATCTCATGATTTCGTTGGTTAACTATGTATACACGGTGATTTTATTCTTCTTCCCTAGGAAGATTACTTCCCCATCAGCCTCGTAAGCTTCTATTTTTGTTTATGAATCTACAATTTATTCTCCGCGTGATTACACCGCGTTTTCCGGTAATTACCCATGTGATGTACCAGATGTGCCCCATGCCTTTTATCGTGAA